GCTATCTGAACTATAGAGCTGTCGTAAACTACAACGAGACTGCGGTAAAAATAGATAAAAACGCTGCCGCCAAACGCGGCCGAATCGGAAATAAGCCGAGAAGGAGACGTCACCGGTAATCCAGATATACCAGGAACAGCGAAAACTCGTCGATTTCGTCGATTGTAACTAAATCAGACATCGAAATTATTGCAAGCAGACCCATAATAACCTAACCGTACCATCTTTGTTCATGAAACAGGACGCTCTACTCAAACGTGAGGTGTACAAGCACGGCATCCATGGAATGCACGCTAAATCATGCATAAGTAAATAAGCACCAAACTCTTCAAATCAGGGAGTTGTATTTTTTCACAGATAAAGACCTATTATTTCGCTTTTCTAGAAGTGGAATTCAACCGCATAGCAACCGAGTACCTACTGAAGTTAAAGCGCGCCTTAAACCTACAAAGTAAGTGGAAATTAAAGGCTGTTGGGGTCAGCTACATTTTTTCAACGTTTCATGGCAGGATTCGTGACACCAACAGGTCAAGTTTCCTCCGGCACACCAGAGGGTATCTGCATACCTATGCTAGCACCAAAAGGTCTCAATGCTAGTACAGAAATATTGCTACAACCATAAGCCAGGAGTTTACTATCGAAGCTGTGTTTAGAGTTTCTTTCTAAACTCTAAACATAAGGCGGACGATAAGAGGTGAAACGGTAGAGACCGTAGGGGTTGATAAGAGGTAGAAGGGTAAAGACCGCAGAGGTTTTGCTAACTTATCGAGCCTGCATGACGACTGTTCCGAAAATTGTTAATTGATACCAAGAGACCTAACAGAAAGAGGCATCCGCACCGTGTTCATTTTGAGATTAGATGTGACCAGGGACCCAACAAAGTTATAGTTAATGTTGTAAGCGCCAATCGTCACAATAGAAATATGGCTGAACTTCACGTATCGTCCTGAGCAGCTCTTCAACAATCCTGGGTACATAAATACGGAACGTTTATTGTGGTTAAAGCTTTCCCACACCGTAAAGTCAAATACAGACGATGAAGAGAATTACATTTGAGACCGTTGAGGCACGCGATGACGATGACAATACTTGACGCAATGGAGGAAAACGCTAACAGCGAATGAATGAACAAGCAAGAATCTGACGTTGACAATAGCAATTAGACCCATTATTCGCGGATAATGCGAGTTGGACGCCAAATGAAGGCTGCGCGGTGCCGGTGACGACGGGTACGGAAATTGGGCATTTCGTGAACACAGGCAACAATCATACTGTACTTTGCAGATTTAATATATTATAAAGATGAACTTATCGTTTTGAACTTACCATTTGTTATCTTGAGATCGATTCGTATTCGTCTCATAATATTTGGATTGTACATCATTTACTTACATGTGATTCATGGACAAAATTTGGCGAGCTCTTCTTCAAAATAATGATGTTCCGGCATTCTAAAATAAAAATGTATGGATCAAAAGGTAGCAATTACCATATTAGTCGAAACAAAATTTCTGTGCAGGTTAAACAGTAGTTACAGACAGATTTGCTTTTCGTTAATGCACCGCAATAACATAACCCCAAATCTTTTTTTCTTGACAACGCGGCAGCCTTCTTTGCGATCAAATATGAATGAATATATATATAGCTTAAAATTTTGTCTCCTTACATTTCACAGGTTAGACAATTGAAACGTTTGGGTTAGCAAAATATTTAGACGATTACCCAATCCGTCGATCGTTTGTTTGTTCAACTTTTATAAAGCTGAAACCGTTTGGCTCTTTAGTATAGCCGAGAGGTTTGCTCAGACCGTGAAGAAAAAACACCAAAATCATTGATCATATTGCATCCTACCTCAGAAAACCTTGGTGGAGGGGGTACGTTAATCATTATATGAGCTTTGCCGTCATCGACTGAATCCGGGAGTGAAGAGTTGGTGCCAGAACATTCATCCTGTGCCTTTTTAACCTGTCCAGCCGCTTTTTTCTTTCCCTTTTTCGCTTTACTCTTTTGGTCTTCTTTCTTTTTTGGCCAACGACTTTTCTTCATGGTGTACAACCAAGCCAGTTTTCCAGATGCTGTTTAGGTCAATATATATCACATATACCACTTTACTTCTTATATTCATACAGCACAATAAACAGCGATACAGGTATCCAAGATCAACAACACAACAGATCAAATTGATGATTACATCGTTATTATGGTACAATAGAACGGTCGTATCGAATTTGAAGTGCTTATACTATTGCACAATACATAGACTCGCTTAAATAGTACCCATCAATTGACTTGGGGGATGTATGAACGATTTTTAGATTTATTCTTGAAAATAGCTCTGAAAGTTGTTATAGCCACTTATTGAACCATTTAACTAAAAAACAACCTACAGTACTTAGTATTTACAATACAGCATTTAAAGTGCTATTTCTATCATTCAGCTGCTTCGTGGCCAAACGAAGGAAAAGTTTCCGAAGAGGTTCGCCAATTCCGATATTGGAATGCATATAGGTACTAGAAGATGTACAGCATTCAACATTTTTTTAACATAAATAGCTCTTCATCAATTTCAAATAAAGTGGCTATTTGGCCAAACAACATTCAAATACATTTTCTGCATATTTTTCTTCATAAGTTTACATCTTTCAGATTATATGACACATTCTGTCAGTTAGTTGGGTCCAGGCTCATTCCATACTTTCAATGCACAGTATGAAATAATTTTGTTTATATAGAAAAAAAAATAGAGGAAATCAACATTATATATCATGCGCACTGTGCTTTGTGCACGTCGCAGTTTTCTGTCTTTTCAATAGGAAGTTCCTTTCCAAAAAATTTCAACAAAAATATTGCATGATTACAATCCCCGATGAAATGGCGCTGTGATTTCTTCCTTTTGCTTCAGATTGAATCAAATAAAAGTGAGAAGCAAACCGAAGTAATTAATATTTTCACATAAAATTCCGATATTGGCAGCGACAATGCACCTAATATCGGAAATTCTGTTAAGGCTTGGTTATAATCATGTCTATACGCTTATGAACTTTGACAAGATATAAAAGGCAGCAACATAAAACGTCACAACAATGCCTCACATTTCTAAATAAAGGAAATTAACAGATTTGAATTTTTTGATGCAATAAAAATGAGCAAAAAAACATGTAAAAGCAGGCTTAAAATGGCAAACCAGCAAACAATTGACACTAGGACAGTGAAAATTGTCAAGATAAAACGAGAACAACGAATTAAAAATGAATAGGATTCCTGAATTTTAGTAGCCTTAGTAGACGTAAATATCGCTTAAAGTTTGAAGCAGAAAGTCAAGAAGCAACGCCTGCGCTAGATATCGGATCAACTTACTAATTGCAGTACGTTGAATTGATACGCAAAAGATACATCAAAAAGCCATGCCAATAGGAGCGAATGCAAATAAATGCAACTGTTATTGAACTGTTGTAAAACAAAGAATCACGACTGAACCCAATTGGCAAAAATCGAAAACGTTATTAAAGGTCGTCTGTTAGGCAGTGATGGATCAACGAAATTTGCTAAAAAAAAGGAATAGCACTCGCAAATATAAACTTGGCAAAAAAACTACTTGAAAGTGCAGCGACGGAAGGGAAAACCCATATAAGTGATAGCGGCATGCCCCGCACATCAGGTCATTTTGCTGATACTTTAATTCAGTATATTGTATCAACTGCCAGAAGGAAACAAAGACAATAAAGCAGGAACTAATAGGATGCAGCGTTAGACACATGGACAATCAAACAGTCAGGTAGATTGTGCTATCGAAATACTTGTACACAACTTGCTTTTCGTTACGTAAGAACACTTGTTATATGCCATTTGTTACTCTGCGCCTGTAACCTTTGGTATTGCTTAACAATCGCCGATAAAGCTTTTTTAGAAAAATTGGAAGGCAAACCCGGAATGTGTGGTCTAGAAAGTGAAAATACAGAGACAAAACCAAGAGTTGACATATTACGAACAAATAATGTTTCGACTCTATGTCCGATACTCTGGTTAAGCATTGCTTGAAATGGCTGCTTCTAGCATGAAATTAAGTGCATCTATATAGAACGCTATTCTCCGATGCATTTTATAGAAAAAAAACTCAAGTATCACTCCGCCCAGACACCATTTTCTTATAATCATCAGGATTAGAATTTCTTAAACATCTCAGCCGCTAGAATGCCATTAGGTGACTTTTTTTAACCTACAATGACATTAATGTGGCCCTGTTTTGTAAAACAACTCAAACAATTAATGGTCTGTATTATTCCTGGGTTCCGTTTTTATTCGTTTGAGAAAGGAAAGCGCTGATAGCTATTAGAATGCATAAAGAAAAATTTTTTAAAAATTGTTGAAAGCATTAGGATTTCTCGACAGCGCCCGAGATGTTGTTCTTAGGTTAGATATCGCAGCAATTCCAGGGAAAGATTTGATGCAGTCATGAGGACTTCCAGCAAGCCAAGTATTGCTAAACGTGTAAAGGTTAATAATCGTAATGTAATAATGTAACACCTACTGCTGGAAAGATGTATTCCTGTTAACGGCTGAACTGTCCATATGTAGCCGAGAATTATAAATGTGTTTTGCTATTATGAGGTTATGGGGCTATATAATGAAATTAACAATTTATAGAATCAAAACAGTTTACGACACAAACCAAATTATCTCCGTTCTATCAGGACAACTACATAAATACAATAAAATACAATACAATAAACTATACCCAAATAATAACATTTTTCAGGTTATTTGTAATACATCAAGAAATATTTATTTTATATACATCTTTTCTTTTCTGGTAAAGTACTCCTCTTGTATACTGTTCATGTTGCCTTTTTTCAAACGTTTACGATACGCGTGGACTATGTATCCCTTTCAACTATATCTTGTTGTCTGACCTCTTTTTATGTCAAGCTTTCATCGTTATTTGAAATTCTTCAACGTAATTAAAATGATACCTATATAAATTGTACACAAATAATTCTTACGGCTGGTGAAGCGATGAAAGAATATTGCTCTCTGCCTTTCTTTTTACAAACACACTATTGACTACAACACAACGATTATTTACAACTTTGTTACAATCAGTGAATGCTATATGTATATATATAAACCCAGACAGGCGCGCATTGCATCTGTTACCTCATTAATTTTTTCAAAATCAAATTACCGTTATTCTTTAATTCGTTAATAAAAATTAGCGATAGGTTTGGTTAAAAAGGGCTATTCATACCTAACTTAGTCATAAAGTGTAATCGTAGTCGTTTTTCTTGACGACGAATTAATTTTAGTTCGTGATGTTTACAGCCTTCACTAAGAGCGACTAGAAAAATAGGGGATATGGCAAAAACTAGCCATGAAACGATTGAAATCTCGTTAAGATCAGGGCAGAACAGAAGGCTTAGACTGTGACCTATTAGGACAGTAAAACAAACACAGACCCAGAGAACGTTCAACAAAGGGTTGTGCTGCCAGAGTAGCTTCTTACGGTTAAGGCTCGACGCTGAGATGGCCACAAAATGAACGGTGAGCAGAAGTAAGTTGAAAAACTGCAATGCTGCCACATCATGTTGACGAAGCTCATCAAGAATATCCCGCAGGTCACAGCCCCTCTCCACGCAGTACTTGAGTATGCTCAACGCTTTGCACAATAGTAAAGTTAGCACAGTAAAGGAAGCTTTAAGAAAGTAACTGGCCAGACAGAAAAGTCGAGTATCGCGATTTACTTGTAGGCTGTCAACATTCGGCGCTCCCATAATGTCGCGATCGGTAGGTGAACAGACAAGCGTCAGACCAATAAGAGGTACTACAACGACGAGCAAGTAGAATGTGGTCAGCGGTGATAACGGTAACGGAAGACGGAACGCATGACAGCAAAGATGCAGCAATGATAATGTCACTGAGCAGAGGGCCACAAACTGAAATGAGCTTTGCATCTGCGAGACAAAATGTCGCGCTTCATTAACCAACTGAAACACCATAAGCTCATCGTCAGCTGTCGCTCGCAGAACGCAAGGCACCGAATTCAATGAGCTAACTACGTCCAAAAGGAGGTCGTGACTTGAAGAGGGTACAGTACTGCAGATACGTGGCGGCAAGGGAGTCCACGATATGCTGCAGTCAGCCTGAATGAACAACTGCAAATTTTCGATATTTCGGGAACTCCCTAGAACACACAAAACCTGTAAGAGAACTTTTGCAATTAAACAAATACGTAATATGCCATGAATACGAAATTACTATTCCAGTACTTACTCAACGCAAACCATACATTATTTATATATGATAAAAACTTCCTACCCCCCAGAGTACATGCGAATCAATGCAGCCTCATACTTGCAAATTTAAGAAACAAGTTCATTAGTATTATTGTATTACTAAAAAAAAAAAGGGAGAATTCACAGTGAAAGGATACACACCTATTTTCTAAAAGGGAATAGAATGAGTACTTAACATTTTGAAGTTTTAGAAGGGATTGATGGAAATAAAACATATTATGATTTTTCATGACTTCTCTATAGAAAGCTATTATCGACTATTTGTGACTATGCTTCCGTATTCACCTGTTCGTATTCTTGCATAATGCGAAGCATCTCTCTACTAGCACTGGGGGTACAGTCTGTGAAGAGGGACACCAGCAGGGGTACGTTGTCGACGTTCTCAATGTGTGCTCGCATGTTTTCAATTCCCTTTGGCAACTTAGCGCGATTGGCAATATCAAACTGCACTGCCGTGCTTACTTCAGAACAAGTGTCGGGCTCCTTAGGTGATGGACTTAGTGATAATTTGAAACTGTTGCGGGGATCTTTGTTGCATCCCATAGATGATGCAACAACAGATGGCGTACTCCAGCACCTCATCCCGTGCCCATTTAATTTCAGCTTCACTCTCATTGGTTTTGTTATAAACGTATTTTCATCTTCATAATCGGCTTCGTTGAGTAGAGAAATATGGCAGTTCCAACCCGATTCAAGACCCATCTTCTCCGAAAAGCCCCGGCTGCGTAATTCATTCTCTTTGCTAAAGTGCACGAATCGAATACAGGCTTTGTCAAGCTCTTCTATAAGACGCACAAATGTGGGTCGCGCTTGGTATTGCAGGGTAACCATACCTATGAATACTTGCTTGCAAATTCTATTGTGAAAGGTTTTGCTACATGTTTCAACGTTATGGACAACCTCTTTAAGGAAAGTATGCGATACAGCTGGAACGCTCCCAAGAGAGCCTTTATGATTGTTAAAGCTATTACATATCTGTGTAGGGACTTGAATGAACGTATTTGCTGGCACCACTAAATCTGTGCAGCTTCCTAGCGGAGTGTACGAGAATGCGGTACAGTAAGCTGTTAGTGAAGTTCTCTGATAAAAGTCAAGAATACATTTTCGATCGGCGTCTGTTAACGGACAAATACTGTGCCCGTCCCAGTAGTCTGTGCAGTGCTCAAGAATAAGATCAGCCGTTCCTTGGCTGAACATCTGAAATTCGCCAGTAAACTTGTCTCTAACCACAGAGGAACTAAAATTAGGAAATGGCATTTTTAGTCGTGGGATATTGAAATTATCGTTGCTGCGCAATCCACCATCATACTCGTCATGTCGAAACATGTAAAGCTGCTCTACATGCTCGTAGCACGCTACTGCCTCTGATGTGAACCCCATTTGCCGTGAAAGATCGCACAAACACCGTTTATTTATTACTGGCACCCACATTTCACGTTCTTCACTCTCGAAATTCACGTGGTCAAAGAACGCCGCGTATTTCTCGTAGGTCTCTTCATCACAGTTGTTAAGAAGAATGCCAAGTCCAAGTGGTTTCAAATTCTGCAAGAACGTTGTCCATTTGGGGTCATCGAACATAATTGAATTTGAAGATCCTCTCAATGTTAGATCTAAAACCTCCGCTTTGGCATTAAGTGTAAGAGACCTTCTTTTTTCTTCACCTTCAGTTTCTGCTTCGGGAACCATTTGCTTAAGAAAAAACACCTTTTCAGGTATAGCATTCGGCCACGACAGAATTCCTTTTTTGTCGACGCAACACAGATTGGTTGCACTGGCAAACGCCTCGAGAAAGGGCCCAGAATGCCAGAAGCGGTGCTTCTGCGTCAAAACTTTCTGCACCACACTGAGCCAAGGTATACCCTGAATTTGCACTTCTCCTCTTTCGGATAAACCAGCCAGGCTATCAGCATAGAAGAGGATCTTAGCTGTCCCTAAAGCGAACTGAACAAACCAATACAGCGGACAAGTTAATACGAACACAATTGGAGACATTGTGATCGCCATATAAACAAGGTCAAAACGGGATAACGCACAGCAGTTCGTCGCGTAGACCAATAGCGACAGTATTCCAACTATTGGAATTAAATAACGCTTCATGTAATGACCCATGATCACTTTTTGTTGGCGTGTGAAGTTGTTTGGACGGTACGGTTCTAGGCCTTTCTCAAGACATAAATGGAGATATTTTATATATGGAGTCTCCACCATAAGGAAATCCCGACTTGGTGCCCCTTCAACTAGAAGGTGACAAGAGTCAATCATGCCTACAACAGTCTTATTCTGTGGTGAATACTTTTCTCCGGGGTTGAGAGTCGTCTTTTTATCTAAAGTTATGCATTTTCCCGGTGCTTCTTGACCTGGTCGCATACGAATAATGTCGCCCTTTACAATAAGCTGGGTCGGACAGTTCACTAAGCGGCCATCCCGGTACGTCCATTGTAAGCTGATACATGGCGAGACAGGCTGCCAAAGAGACTCGTAGCTAAACTTATTCGCCTTAAGCACCTCGAGTTGTTCCATAATGTTTTGCAGATGATTATGCAGCTCGTACTTTACTTGCACTGCAATGTAAATCCCACCCATGATGTGGACAAGAAGTGAGAGCATAACCAACAGGGTGAACAATAAATGCCCAAGGAATGCCATTAAAACGGCAATTACCAGCAATAGAGTATATCCAAGCCATTTGAATAATAGAAGATTGTGTGAGTCTCTCAGTATGCCGAAGAATGAGGTCGTGTTGTCCAGCTGACTTTTAAACTCTGCCACAGCGTCTTTTATCTCTGACGAGAGCACCTGCAACGCGCGTTGCGTGGAGAGACCCGCCATCATACGTCTGAAAACGTATAGCAGCAACATCCAGCGCCTAATTATTAGGATTCCAACGGATACGGACTTGATGTTGTTCGTGCTACAGAAAAAATATTTTTTGCGTGTACTAGATAGGTTATTTCAAGTTTGATCAGAGGAAAATCACTGCCATAAAGCAAATTCGAATAAACATTAAATACATCACATAGACAAGCATGCATTAATACTACATACGTTATTTACTATAAAAAGAATGGAAAATATTGGCACACGGTAATTACCCAGCTTCATACGAAATTGTCAAAATATTAGAAAATACTATTTAGATTGTTTCTCTGCATTAGTTTAGCATTGTATTTTCAATTGCAGTTGCAACAGAATTGCTAAGAACTCAAACTGGTTCTTCTTCACATTTTTTAATAGGATGTCAAAGAATGGTACAGATCGGGCACAGTAAATGTGAGAAAAAAACTCGTGTATCAATATGCTGTGTCTTATTATATATACGACTTGAAATTCCTGTATCAACAGTTACCAAATCGTTTTCGACCTTAGGGAACACACACACTCCTGGATCAATTTTATCCTCAAATGGTTAATTGGAATACAACCCATATTGAATAAACATTTTATTCTTTAATATTCCTCGTCTATCTCAAGGCGATAAATTCTTTAAAATTATGTTTCTGATTATTTTATGCATTATTTCCATACACTAGCTAAAATATTTTGCATTAAAGGCAAAATAGACCCTCTGTTTGATGCGCGAAACTCATCCAAATCAAGCTCGACGTAGATAGCTAATGAAGAGAACTCACCAAACGTCTTAGCCAACGGTGTGGCATTAATTTTAACGTTTGAACGACGTTCTCATCGGAGTTCAAGTGCTCAGGTACTCAGTATTTTCAAAACAACATGACCGACGGCGAGACGATCCGCCTTATGCACTGCTGACATCAGCCAGAGCACACATGTTTTGCTGCTACTACCATTATTATTATTATTATTATTATTGTCATTATTCTTGATGGATGAAGTATTTATTTGTTTATATTAAGCTGCTGCAGTGCTAAGACTCGCGTTGGCGGTATTCGTTGAGCATGCGAACAGCGGTAGCATTCGTCGAGCATCAAGCTCTTGATGGAAGCTCACAACAGTCAGAGCTTTTGATGGTTCGGCCTGTTGGCTATGACCGCTTTCAAAAAGACAACTGCGTATCTCTCGTCTGACAGTCAGGTTTTTAATCATTAGCATGCTCTCGAACAAAGAAATTCACATTATACAGGATAGCAAACATAGGGTCTAACTGGTGCCACCTAATCTGCTCCGCTGAAAAATTAACCCTTCATATACTTCTATGCTGATTCGCTGCTACATGTTTGTAGCCGAATAGACCACGCTCAGGAGCTTCTATTCCGACCGGTGAAGCAATGCTTGTCAGTGCGAGACTAGTCGGAGCACAAAAGTAGTTCGCGGAGGGAACTTTAGGCAGATTGTGGTCGTATTCGCATTTGCGTAGCGCTTTGTAATATCTATTCGATTATCGGTAACGATTAAGTGTCCTCTATACTTGTATGTTTGTCGGTAAAGTAGTTCTTTATTACGACAATTCTGCTTTTCCACCTCAGTGGTATAATGCCCCGTGAACACAACATCCGCTCGAGACATTCTGAGAGTTCTGACGAAGAAAAAGAAGACGTTGAACCTGTCGTCGAGGAGGTAATGCATCCGTTAGCCATGTTAGTAACAGTACTTTATATTAGTCGCATCGTCCAATCATTTAGTACTAAAATATAACAAAACCATCAATATTTGTGTTGTATTGTATGCTATGCGGAATAGCTTTGCGCACGAACTATTCAGTTAGGACAATACATTGTGCAAAAGTAAAACAACAGAGAATCCACAGTAGAAGTTATATTTTAGGAATAATGGCGATAATTTTGCGGTGAGCTAAAACTAGCAGTGCATTGCTTCAGTCTCCTTTCGTTTGGGCTACGCTACGATTAATTAAGCAACGCACTCAAGCTTGAGAGCTATACGGGATGTTATAATATAGACATAGCGGTGTTCTCGGTTAATAGGCGTATTAACATAGTATAAGAGTCTCATCTAGCGAGTACAATATGACAAGAGTTCATTTATCCTCTTAAAGTTGGGCGTCCAGACAAGATAACGGTATTGGTCGTGTTAGCTGTGCTACATTTATAATTTACGGTCTAGTTTTTACGGATTCACGATACGGTATCGACGATTATTAATAAAGAATCTAACCGGCTTAGATCTGCGATAAGAATGGGGTTCTCTATTTATGATTTCTTTCAATCATCCTATGACGATCACACTAGCTGCAATTCGAGTCGCACTGAATGGAATAAGTAATACTTGATGTTTTACGATGATTGACCTTAGTTCATTGCTTCAATGCAACTCGCGGTTTCCACCCCGTGTTTGTTGTGCTGTTGAATACATGTAGTGCACATTTGTTCACACGACCTAATTTGCGCAAAAATATAAATTCATGTATTTGATGATATATCATCGCAGTAGATGCTAATGGCCGCCCTGTAAATGCCGATGCAAAGTTGTTTTAAGATAGACAATATGAGAATCAGGCTGCTGGCGTATACTTGTGACCATCCAAATTAACACTACTCACTATGGGAAAAAGTAAACTTTTCTCAGTAAAGAAAAAAGTAATCGGCCAGTTGGCTACATCTTCGACGCAGATTTTTTTCAGGATGCATCTCTAGAGACTCAGAAAGAATGAGTGTTGTCACTCAAATTGTCGTTTTGGATCCGACAAACAGACGGATAGGCACAGACCTTTAGTACTTAGTGGATAAATTTATGTAAATGTGCTTGCTGGGACAGATTTGTTCTTTTACATCAGAAAACAAAGTCAACATAAAATGATTATAACCAAGTAAACCGTATGTTTTCTTAGGAGGTAAATACAACAAGAGCTGCTTATTGACAGGGGGAAATCAAGAGGGAAAGAAATGGGTTGTCGCTGCCCCATTTCAGTCAGGGAGTTGAATGGAAAGCAAACAGTAGCAAGAGAAAATTCAAATTTCGGACCATGGGGACAGTAGCTCCAATTTCATACGACGCGCGCGAATTGATGGGGTCTTGTTTCATTTGCCAATGAACGTATTAGTTATAGCGGAAAAGGGAAAGGCCTTATTCAGCAATGTAAGTGGCATTTACGCTAAGAAATACTGATAGCTATTGTACGTGTGTGTTTTAACTTGGAACCCAACTTCTTCATCAGATTATACTGAAAAAAATTACAAAAACTGTCCTTGTGCAGTTCGCTCACGTGGTTTCGAATATAAATCTTTTGTCACATGCATTATAAGATCCACATTTTTTGTTAGAGGACAGGAATTTTGAATGCATATCTGTATGCAACCAATTAACAACGTACATCAAACCCCAAGCAATAAAATACCGTTTTTGGGTGGTTGGGTGACCGAGATTAACCTAAATCCCACCTTCCTTAAGTTTTACTCAATATCAGCTCGACTTGACGTAAGCTAGTAATACGGACTGGCAAAAAAAGTGACGGGTGCCTGCAACTTAATTGGTTGTGGCCACCTGGCCAAGCTCCCCCGCCATCTCCAAACTTGTCGTATATCCTCCATTGGCGACGAACAGTGTTTAAATGAATACTGTTTGTCGCATAGTGGAATACACTTGCAGTTGCAGGTTTAACAGCTCGAGTCGTACCTGTCTAGTCAAGTAGTACAACCAAACATTTCTTTTTCGTTATCGTGTATAAATAAACAATTGTAAAAATTTGTTTAGTGAGTTTCTCTAGTTTGAGTTCCTAATATAACTGCAGCGGAAAATTGTATTTGATCAGCGTTAATATCATTGCGCCTTTTACCTTTAATACCTTTTAGTCGGTTCCTGCGTTGAGGGGTGTAGATCAATTCAGAAGGGTGTGTTCTGCGTTCTAAATTATTTGAGCTTGCTCTTTATATTAACACTGGTGATTTTCATTCAAATGCTATCGATCGGTTTTGCCTTAGCCAGGAATTCGTGGTCGATATTGTCGTTACGTCGTCGCGTCAGGTGACACTTTTTAGGCAAACATCAACGTAACGTTGGCAAAGCCATCCCAACCGACTGTATTTCGAGGACGCTGTTGTGCAAAGAAACACAAGTGATATAAAGATATATGTGTACTGATCAGAGAGCTGGTGTATGTAAGGCCTTCTGTTTTGTCACCTCAATTGGAATCATTGTTCTATGGCACCAAGAGCTTTCTCGACGCTTCTGTGTGGACGATACCAGCCATGAACCTTTCGCCTGCATCTGGAATAAGGGAAAGGGCTTCAGTGTGATGCATTGCAGCGGCATGAGGTGTCGCTTAGTGAGTGGATCGGTAGGTCGGTCAGTCGGTATACGTAATGCGCATATGTATGTATCACTGGGGGAGAGCGAGGTCTCTTGCGTTTCAAGCGAAAGGAAGTGGCTGTAAAGTAGGTAAGGGCACACACGCACCTATCTGCACTTTATGTACTGCAACTGCTAGTAGTGACGTTAGTATGTGTAGCTGCGGAAGATGGTCGATGAGGGCGGTTACTGAGATGAGGTGGGAAGGGAAATTCATCTCTTAGAAGGCTTTGGGTTCAGCAAGTGCGTGTTTCATATATGCAGCCCCTTCCCAACTCTCCTGACTTCCCTGGCTTGAGTCTACTGTTGTTGTTGTCGCTATGTTCGACCGCTAAAGCCACCAAGAGTCTGAGACATACGGCGCTCGCGGCGAATGTTCGAACGTGATCATTACGGCGACGTGACGATGTATTATGATGATAATGGTACTAATGTTTCTCTTTACCTTCGAATAAAAATATAGAAGGTTTATACTACTCGTGATATTATCAAGTGGTGACTAAAATATCGATCAAGGCATCAGTGGAAAATCTAAATAAAAGAAGACTTGAAGACTTATAAAACGTTAAATTAGACAATGCGAATTCGGATATTTTAAGGTCTCTGTTTTTGTAAAGAAGGCTTCTGTGTACCTTTGCACAAAATTTTATTGTTAAGCACAATAAATATTATTTCTTTAGGTAGATATGTATTAGTAGAAACACGTATTAAAATGGATACCTACTCTGTTGCGCGGCAGGCCTTGTTCGTTGCTTGCGTTTGCTTTTTTCTAGCCGCCAGGATCGAATACTTATGCTGCGAATCTACTTGATTTATGTCAGATTGTCGAAAAGGTTAAGAGAATTAAACAAATATACAAAGTAACCAAGCGTCTTGGGACCGTTTAAAAAATTTCTTGACAGTTGCGAAAGGTCTCATTACTGTTAAGAAGTATTTATTTTACGTCTGTCGAACCGGCAGGGGATACGCAAACAATTACAATGAAAAGCATCTTTATCTATGCAACACATTTATCACAAAGGTGCCTTAATACTACATCTGTATTCCTACAATACTATGTTATAATGCCATAGCGTTAAATATATGTTTAACATGCAGTAGCTACAACAATGACTATTGCAGTCACTTAAATAGTTATTTTGACTAATACCAGAACAGCCTGTAGTTTTCTTATGACATAGCATTATGGGAATATGAAAATACTATTTGGGTGTCACATTTATAAATATGTTGGGCAGTTAAATCCACTCCTTGTTGCGATAATTACGTAGTTCCTGTTACTTTAAGAGATGTGAAGTGTAGACTACTGTCAGACCGCCAAGATTTTTGCCTCATCTTGCATATCATTGAAAATCGAAGAAAAAAATTGATTTGTCTGGATATTACTCTATCTTACGAAGCTTTCGTGGCCGCATAGAAAGTACTATTAATGGGTATTTTGTGTAAACTGAAGTGTTCTATTTGGTTCTGTGCTTATTGGTTTTTGTACGTTCATTTTACAGTGCAACCTTCAGGCAGCCAGCTCGCGTAGTTCGTCTATGAACGGCTATCATTCTCGTTCGCGGTCAAGCTCGCGATCACAAAGTCCCCCAAAACGACAAAGAGTGGTCAAAGATCGTCAAAGACGTCGCGAACGGGACAGCAGTCCCGCATCATGGTATGACCGAACTAGAGATCGTCGAGACCGACGGTCGCGGGAACGGCGCAGGAAAAGGGATGACTCTCAGAGGGATGGTCATGGCCACCACACGCACAATAATTCAAACATTGGACTTAATGCTGTAGGCGGCGGAAGGAAGAGACGACGTAGTCCTGATATCGACGAGTTTCGCCCGCGTTGCGACCCCACCCTTGTGCGGTATTTATTCAAGAAGGCGAGATTCTTTATGATAAAATCGAATAATTATGAGAACATTGCATTATCCAAAGCGCGGGGCGTATGGTCGACTCCGCCGCAGAACGAGGCTAAACTAAATCAGGCGTACCGCGAATGCAAAAACGTAATTCTTGTGTTCAGCGTCAAGGAGTCCGGCCGATTCCAGGGTTTTGCTCGACTGTCCTCTGAATCGCGTCATGATGTGCCACCTGTAAATTGGGTGTTGCCGCCGGGCTTAACTGCACGTGCCCTAGGCGGAGTCTTCTATGTTGACTGGATCTGTCGCAAAGAACTGCCATTTATTAAATGTCAACATTTGTACAATCCGTGGAACGAGGGAAAGCCTGTCAAGATTGGCCGCGATGGTCAGGAGATCGAGCCGCGTTTAGCTGAGGAGCTGTGTCGACTGTTCCAAGTCGACGAGGGAGTAGACCTCGTGGGCATCATTAAGAAAGCTCGAGCCGAAAGGGAAAGACTCAAAAGGAAGTTGGCCTCTGGGACAGTAACCGTTGCTGAACGTGATCGCGAAAGGGAACAAGACATTAGTGGCGACCGAAGGAGGCGCCGCCGAGAGTAGTCTTCCGACCGAAAAAAGGAACCGAGTACTGGGCGCACATGAAGCTATGAAGACAGAAGCGGTTGCAGGAGACGAGGGGAAAAGGGGCAAAGGGGATGGGGATTGTGTAGGAAACAAAGAGGGGAGACTTTACCATTACGGATTAAGCGTGGGTGGGGAGGCGAAATTTGTTCACCATATTTGACTTTTTTAAATCAGAAAATGGACTCCTCAACTAACAAGTCTCCTATGAAAATTATATATTATTGAAAAGAACACGTAGTTTATGGACACACGTATTTACCATGCATTAGTTTTAATGGGTCGAAGATTACTTCCAGGCTGCTTGGATATTTGACTATAAATATTTGGCTGTAGTAAAGCTTAGGATTAGTGAGTAGCTGGAGATGATCGCCGAAGTATAGCCAGAGGTATTTCGTATCTTCGGCAACATTCAATGTTAGTTTTTGAGGAGTTCATACGGGAAGTAGTAAGCTAGCTATGACGTTTCTTTGAAAACATATATTCTTTAAGTAATGTATATCAATTAACCGCAATTAGCACTACATGCTTCGTAGGCACTAGATGTTCGCTGTGACCCGTGGAGTACCTTTTGAAGTGAGTGCGTTTGATTTTGGCTAACTTAGTCCATGTAGTCAGCTTGACCTAGAATTGAATAATATAAGCTGTCTATCTGATAAGCGCTTGAATAACACGGCGCCACAATCGACTTGAGAAAGAGGTATGGTGGACAATTTAAGATAAAACTATATATGTATATATATATATATATATATATATATACACGTATGTCTTAGGACCACAAAAGTAGCAGGTGACTGAACGTGTATTAGACCCTCTACTTTGACCTTGCATATGATTTGTACGTATTATTGTAATATCCTAATTTAAAAATTTACGTGCGCGAACAAATGATGAGAATAGTGTGATGCGAGTAATTATGGCGAACCAGAAGCTGAATAACAACGCGATCTATCTCTATTCATAGTTAGAGCCTCGCCCGCCGACCCATCGATCCATTTGTTTACCCTTTTGTTTGCCCTATCTATCTCTTGAGTTTTATTGAATGTACATTTTTGTAAATATGACACTTCTTCTTTTCTAAGAACAGATTAGCTGCACTGAAAGGAAAAACAGCAGATTCATGCACATTGAGGGACGGATGTCTCGCCATCGGTCGAAGAATGTCGATGGCGGCAGTGGTGGGTGAGGCTCAACTCTAACTTGTGGGCATATTGCAGCTGAAGGATGATGGTGTTGGATACGTGAAATGGACGTGATGGATCAATAAATGCAATGAATCGTGTGCTAAAGCGAGTGCATTGCATGAAACCAGCAAGTGCTATGTGAACTCTGTTACTTGACACAACACAAAACCTCCAAGATCGCTATTTATGATGAAAGGGTGTTCTCCTGGTGAAAGATACCATGAAGTTAGTGCTCCCCCTCCAAGATGGACTAGTGGCTTGATAAGTGAATCTCGAGTTAAATTAAAGACGCTGCTGTTGCTCATGATGATGGTGCGAGCGTAGCAGCGGCAGCAGCGGCAGTAGTGGTGGCGGTAGCGGCAGCGACGCCAACAGCAGCGCTAATCGAAGGAACAGCGGCGAATGGGCAGCACAAATGTGGTACATTTTGCTTACGGCAGTGCAGAAGAGGAGAAGAGTTACAAGATACAAAGAAAGAAAGCCAGGCAGAGAAACTAAGAGTAAGGGGAAAAAGTAGAGAGAAAAGTGCAGCGTAGTGTGAAGGAGTGAAAGGAACGAGATGTTCGTTGCATTGTTTACAGTGTTTAGTTTCTCATTCCTCCGTAAGTCGGTCACTGAGTGTGGACCAGCCGGTGCACAGAAGGACAGAAGATTACTATAGTAATCGCTATTGTGGGTAATGTTATTGTTGTCGGTTTCGAAATCGACCATGTTGTGCTGGTTATGATGTGCAGTATGTGGAGTAGGCTCGGGTGACTTACGCACATACTTCCAGCCTCCAGCGACATCAGAAGGAGTAAAAATTCTGACAGACTCTCCCTCTCCCTTTTCTCTCTCTGTATCGAGATGAGGCGTGTCTGCCGCTATCAGCTGCTATCGTTGTGTAGTGTTTTGTTCACCCAACGTCTAAAAGTCAGCCAAGCGTATTCAGCCATAAGAAGATAATAACCCATTAGAAGATCTCAACACTCGTTTAGTCGATCGCTCTAATCTATTAAACTTAGTAGGCTAGAAAGCAAGGCTCGAAGCGTGTTTGAGCGTGTTGATTGTACAGCTAAATGAGGACGCTGCAGCTGGGACGAGGTCTTGGAGGATTAAATTGTGGAGATGTGCGTGTGGTATTTTGTTATCATGAAGTGTGAAGACTTTTTTGATTAGTTTCTGCTACTGCTACTACTGCTACTACTACCGCTGTTGTTGATTGTCTTCTGATTGTTGCTCTTAAAATCAATCCGCGCCAATGGATGCCCTATATCCACCAACTCCCTTTCTACGCATCGTGGACTTCGGCAAAGTGTTTAAATATCAAATGATGAGGACTTTCTATTATAGAACTATAACTACAGCTCTTTGTTCAGCAAAAATAGTGCTACTACTCCTGCCATTTACTTCTGGATTCTATTATTTCGCAATGGCAGCAATGTGATTTTGAATCGCTCAGTCAGTGTCTTGTGTCAAATTCGGTTTGTATAAACTGTGAATAGTGCCAAGGACTTCTTGCCAGGACATCACAAACCAGTGTGTTCTCCATTTTCTCGGCATCCCGCCTTCTAGTAGCGGTTGGTATATATGATTTAACTGAGAGTTTCAGGTACAACTTATGTCGTTCCTGATTCAGGCCCCGTTTATATTCTGTGTAATGTTTATTGTGAACATCGCTTAACTGCCTAAGATAGCGAGTTTCCATTTCGTTGCAAAACAGCGTGCACGATATAATATACGCATATTATGATGCAACAGCTTTTTCTCTAGAACACAGGTTATCTAATTGTGCATTCTGTAAGACCAACGAATAATAGGACTATCTTAGCAGTTACTCGTGTCCAATAAACATCGACAGACGTCTACTGAAATGGCCCGCTCATCTACAGCTCGTGAAACAAAAGTTGTTCGAGATACTTGGGCGTATGTATGCTATTTGTGCACAGAAGGTCCGAGTGATCGTTTATAGCAAAGCAGGATGGAACTTGCTCTTGTGTTCCAGTATGCATACTTCTACCAGTAGTTCCGAAGCACGACGAAAGCAACAACCCAACCCAAGCGATAGTTGTGCGTAATAAAAACAACGACCGTTAACATAAGCAAATTGCCTTTTTATTTAAAGCTGTTGAAGTGTGTTTAAAGGATACTACACTTACACGATGAGTAGAATAATGAAGAGAACATTTTGATTCACTTTTCTTACAGTATATGTGTATTCATAATTGTTACTGTTGATATTTTTTGTTTGCTCATGTTAAGTATCGTCATTAGTAACAACCTTGGTCATTGTTGTGATTGATATATATATATATATATATATATATATATATATATTATATATATATATATATAATCTGTTTATCCGCTCTGCTATGCATAGTAGCTTCTGCGTTTAACTTCCTTGGTACGATTAGCAGCTCGTCCTAAGCCGACCTCCGAAGCTTCAATCAGTTGGTGGTGAGAATCGATCATAATCCATTGTTACATATTTAATCAAGTTAAAGTAACAGGTTACCTTCCCGTTCTTGTTTCACTTGAAACCTAAAGAAAAAGAACTTGAAAGCGTAAGACTGCACATAGTGATAATAAAAATTATATAATTAGAGTAATAATTATTAAATAAATAGTAAATATTAGTAAACAAGAGTAATTTTTCTATTCACTCTTCTATACAGATAATAAAAAGTGGTCTAGTCAAACCTAATTTTAGGTGTTAAGTGGTTAAACGTGCCATATGCTGATACAAGAAGTGGTCACAACAGTCGCGTGCATATAGGCACGGAGTCTGTAGAAGTACTTGGAATAGCAATTCGATGACTGCGAGATCAATACGAAAAATTTCTGTTCAGTTTATTATTCAAATAGGTAAAGGACGCCAAAACACGAGGTTCGTCAGTTACAGGTAAAGATAAGTATGACATGTTTTAAAAAAACTACTGGGTATAAATATCAAATTAATAATTTTATGTTCATATTAAATTAATATTTAGTAAAAAAAACTATGTGGTAAGGTTGGACTGAAATACAAGCCTACTATTAAGGTCGGAAGTTAGAGTTAAATTAGTAAAAACGAGAACCTTATTTATACAGAATATAAATATTCATCAATCGAAATTTTCATATCCTAATACAGTGAAATTGTAGAATTACAACATGCATATCAAACGGGCTCAAAGCAACGATAGGCAACCTCACAGCCGTAAACTCGTTTATCGGTCTTCGTTTCATGCACGAACTGACGAGAAAAACAGTGGCTGCGCTAAGAACACTGCTTAAATTGAAAAATTGGTACGCTGTCATGTACTGCTGTCAAGACCCTTCTCTTGTAGGTGGGAAGTCTAGAATAAAGCAAAAACAAAAACTGTACGCTCTTGAAACCTTATTGCTAAGTACTAAAGGAGAATAAATCTCATTACCCTGAAGATTACCCAAGTTTTAGAATGCTTGTAGCGGAATCATGAAGTGTATAGTACCTGTCGAGAATCTAACTCCGTTATTAGTTGTTAACAAGCTTTTCGGCAAATTTAAATCCATTTTCACTTCTTTACAAACAAGACAGCAACTCACCCTCTAGGCGTGAATTAAAAGTAGAACCTAAGGCCTCCTTATACGCACACGCAACACAAGAGAACAACACAGGCTTCTTAATGTTGATAGCAACATTGGGGCGTAGCGAGCATCAGTTATAATTTATATATTCACAGTGTAATATGTACTGCGTAGACACCAAGACATTAAAGCCTGAATCTAAAATACAATCTTACCATCAGTAAACAGTCGAATTCGACAGTACAGACCTTGTTCAGCCGAATGAAAAAACACTGTGCTTTTAGGAAATAATATAAAACTAAAGTCATAGTGAAATCGAAGTTCTACGTTCGAAGTTCCATGGCCGAAATACTTTGCTGAACAGGTATATCCAGTGATGGTTATATATCTTTTTCACTGACACATTCTTCAGTGTAATACAAAATATCATAGCTGAGCGGTACTTATATTCTACACGTATATTACTTAGTATTCGTTACATAAAAGCATCGAACATATCTAGTCTTGATAGTAAGTGTAATGTAGTGTGTTAAATACTGAGCTACAATTCACGAAATTGCATTGTCTTCTCTACCACCTTATTTTAACTACACTCATGTCAGTTCTTTGGAAAGTAATAGGCTTCACTGACATTTCCGATGCCATCGTTATATAATCGCTTATTGATTTTAGTGAAATGCATTTCATTCAGTTATTTACGTCGTGCAATTATCCACTTACTCAACTTCTATTGAAGATGTGTAGGATAAGAAACAAACGACCATCTGAATGATTTTAGTTTAAGAAACGCTCTTCAGAACCCGATATATAATAAAAAATGAACAGCTGTATCAGGTTGTATCGCGGCACCCCACTGCGTTGCCATTTTTGAATGCGGTTTAAGAAAAATTTGGTTGATACGGATAACAAACAACCGTACTAGGAAATTAAATTTATTTGTGTGTTAGATTAGTCAGACTAATCAGATCCATCTTCCTACAGACCGCTGATACAATTCTCTTGATCTGATAAATACAATATAGAGCACAAAGCGGATCAAAAAGATTTTAGGTTTGCTTGTTAAAGTTCACAATTTGTTTACTTGTTCACTTCATAGCAACTTTTTTTGCTATTTCTAGTTTCGCAAGTACATACATTTTGAATATGAACAATCGACATTCGTTGGTGGGGCAGTATATATATATATATATATATATATATCGCATTCAAATTAGGAAAAACTGCAGTGCGCTCCTTATCGAATCAAGCATGAGTTAACCCACTTTTTTAAAAATTAACAGCCAGTTATTTTTAAAACAAGTTCAGCACGGTTAGTAAGACTACATTGTTTTTGAAATTCGAGTGAAATCAAGCCATTATATAATCATTCTGCACTGAGCAAACCCCAACCAGTATTAAAAACTTTTTTTGAAATCGACAGCCGATATCATTATCAGTTTCCATGCAGCGTTTGAAAAGAAAAAAAAAATCCGTAAGGCGATTCGGAAAATATTTAATGGGATTTAGATTCAAAAGCTTCGGAAACTGATTAGAGTAGCTTAGAAGGCTATTTTTGATACACCTAGATTTTTTCTGTCGTATAAAAATTAATGTCCGTTTTAGAACATCAGTTGTCAATTGCGCCACCAAGATGAAGTCCAATGGTTTGTCCTTTTGATACTTTTCGCGCCTTTTGGACTTTGACCTTTTGAGTCTTTGCATTTTTAGGTCATTTGGCATACTATCAGCACGATTTTTTTTTAAAATTTTCATATCTAGGTAGTCTGCACTTACCAATATCGCTTGACACTTGATATTATCAAAAAGTCATTTATGGATTGAAAATTAGTGGTTAGTGGTTTAGGCCTTGAAAGTGTAATCGCGGTGGATAGTGGTTATATTGAATAGGTATACTCGTCATATATGACACTATAATTTGGAAGGTTTTGTTACAATATTGTTTAAGAACGACACATAAAAATATTAATTTATATGCCACCTTGTATATATTATGTTATCGAAAAAGCTTTGACCGCTTTTACGTTAAAATTGAAACCAACATTTCTTATATTTCAAGAAAATCTTACTGAACCAAATATGCGCCATTTTGATCAGTGACATGTTATTTTTCTGATAACACTACAAACTATCGAAATTTTGTCGTTCCTAGTGAAAAACTGTGACAAGTGAGTTTCGTACCCTTCTATTGAAACTAAAAAAACATCTTTAAAGGAGTTCTGGAGAGATCGACACAGATGATAGTCTGATAGTACAGGATCCGGACTATTAAGGTGGATGCATTAAAATTTCCCATCCAAGCACTTTCAGTTTTTGCCGTGTAATCAAAACTGTATAACTTAGCTTTCTCGTGGTGGAAGACAACTTTTTTTTTACCCACTTGTTCTGGTCTGTTCTTTTTATTGGCTTGTTGTTAGTTATTAACAGGCCTGAAGCAATCGTTTCGCCAAGCGGCAGCAGTTTATAATGCACGATTTATTTTTAAAACTACCAGATATATAGCGTGACTTTCTTTGGCGTCAGCTTGGATTTTGTCACAGATTGTGGAACGTATTTTTTTATTTGCACGTTCGTGTTGTATCGATCTATTTTTCATCACCCGTGATCAACCGCTTTAGAAATGACTCAATTTCGTTGCGTTTCTATAAAGCTTCGCAGATAGAAATGCGATCGAGTAAATCAAGAAGAACATCTATCGCATCGAAATCTCCAGAACGAGAGCGATGGAGTCATCTTTCGGCCGATAACCTGTCTTTATCATAAACATCACATTTTGTTATAGGCTTAGGCAGTATCTGTGCCTTTACTGTAATAAGATTGTAAAACAGTCGATTTTTGCACAGATTTTACTCATCTTCAAGACGCTATATTAAATCTGAATAAAGGCATTTAAACGATGGTTTACTACTACTAAATCTTAGCTTTTAAATAACACCGACCCGACGCGACTCGTATTACCTGAAATATGTCACTTTAGAGACATCTAGTTAAAAAAAAAACGGTCATTTTTTTTTCGACAACCTAATATGTATACGGTAATACATATGTATGTATATGGTACAGAGTAAAAAATTGCAATGGATCATTTCTTGTTGGTGCTAGGAATACCTAAGCGCTGCATGAAGGATGACGTAACCAAGACCACGTCATATATTAATTCCTGCAATGATCGTGATGATGATAATGAAATCAGAAATTAGTGATGCACAAAAACAGATTTTTAACTTTACGCTCTTAGCTTTCTTTTTCTAAGAGCTAAAAAATAGGTAGAGTTATACAACGCAAGACAACGAAAGGACTCTGACAAAGCAGGTTGTCATTTTTGAACTGCCTTACGCTGAACACTTACTTTCCTTTTGTGTCTCGTATCGATTAACTCCGCTAATTCCAGATGGCTACTATCTTACATTGATAGTATGTGACAAAATTATCGTAAGGAAAATTATTACGAGTTTAGTTCTCCATGCACCCCAATCAAAGCTGTCATTTTCAGTAACGTTTTTACACTCAATCCGCGGTATTCGATTGTGGTTCATCACGTCTTGGTTATATAAGTTCGACATAGTTTGCTGGAAAAAGACCGAATGTTCCATCGGGTGCAACACCCTGCCACCACCCCTCGTCAATTTGATCAATATTTGTGATTATGTCATTAGGGTCAAACGATATTTCCGTGTCGTCTGCTGCCTCGTAATCGAACAAGGCCCTTGCACATTGGCCTGAAAGTACACCACATACATTATACATACAGAAAAAAACGGGATTGTTTTGAAATGGAAACCACTGGAGAGTCGAAAAATTAATAAACAATCAATAATTTTTTGTTACGACTTATGGTAATGATGTCGTAAGTTGTACCGAGTAACACACTAGACAACTATCGACCGATATAGCCCGAACGTTTGACGAAACATTAGACGGTATTAAATATCTGTTAACAATAAACTTTTCAACCGGCGTGGAGCTCCTAAAAAATATTAGGCACTAATAGATTAATTATGATGAATGTACCTTTATCAATTGGAACATTTGATTGACCGGGATTGTCGGGGTGCGCTGAGTCGGTTTTAGATGTGTATGGAGGATCCGCCGAAATTGTGTTCTGTGAAGTTAGCGATTCCGGTGGAGCCTTCAGAAGTCCCTGTTCTAACATCGCGTCAACCAGGGGATCCGGAATCTTTGAAGGTGGCTCTTCCAAAGGTTCTTCTGTTCAGAATAGACAGATACAAAGACAATGCGGTTGAAAATGAAATTCGGAAGCACGCGTCCATAATGAATGGGGTTTAAGGGCATCTTCACAATAGCTTTATAATAACGATTTGCAACTGGAGGTATCCAATATATTTAAATTAGTATTTGTGTATTAACAAGACACTTCGTACTGGAATGCAACATGAACAATATAATGTAGCTTTTTTTACAGCGTGAGAGTAGGCTCACAATGTTATTAAAAGCTTGTTTGAGATGGAGAAATATATAATTATAAGATAATTATATATAGCAAAATATTTAGGCAAAACACTATTATATATATATATACTTTTCCTTCTGACACCTTTTTTGAGAGTCATGCATCAAGAGATGCTCTTTCATGATAGGCTTCCTGTACCTTGTACCTAATCAGAAATAAATGTTGGCTAATAAAATAAGTAATGTAAGTTGCCGTACCTTCCCAATCTTGCTCTTCGTAGTTTCCACCCGTGTCAACAGATTCCCGTCGTTCTTCTTTGAGAAGGTTCTTTGTATACGAAAACTCTTGAGTTCCAGTTTGCTGCGGTGGTTGATGGCCTACAGCAGACGATTTTAAGTCTCGTTCTTGAGACATTTGAGGAGTGGCTGAAGTGTTCTCAACGATCGTTGCTGGACCTTTGTCTATAATGATAGGTGTCTTCTCTATAGGTTTACTTTCGAACTTCGGAACGACAATTTTTCCAGGGGTTCCTGTTCCAGTTACAGTTCTTACATTTCCACTTGGCACGACATCAGGCAATATAGAGTTTTCCGAATCCTTACGGTTTTCAAATAAGGCTCTCGTTTGCCGAACACCTAAAACACCAATGACAAACCTTATAGGGAATAACTTCACCATCGCATGTTGGTTTGGTCTTTCAAAAGTAAGTTTCGGTAGTGATACATTAACATCTAATTTTGACTATTAGATTTTCCAGCATCAGTATCTAGAGCCACGGACTGTTTTTTGCAAGCGGAGAGTAACAATCTTTACAAAAAGAGAATAGGACATTCATTGATTTGCAAAACATTATACAATCGGGCTCATTAATTGTAATCTCATTCATTACAAAGAGAAGCGACATGTAAAACATTTCTTCTTAAAACTTCGATTTTCAAACTATATTATACGTACATCAAATTCTTTACCGATACAGAACGGTTAGTGTATATTTGGCTATGGCAAACAATGTAGTGCCATACTCACTCAGCCAAGTACTTACTGCATTTTTTATCGAATTTTTGGACTGGCTCAGAATCCACAGCCGCTGCTCCTCCTCTTTTCCCCATCTCCTGTATTTGCTTCTCCCACATTGAGATATCGAGCTTTTTAACAGGAGCCACGGGCTTACGCTTAACCGTAACATTTGTGCTCGCTGTTTTTGAGTCATCGCGATATTTTTGTTCACGGGCCTTCGCCGCTTCAACCTGGCGGATGCAGCAATCATAATTTTTTTATCAATTATATTCGTTATTATTGAGCACCATAATATTCACGTATCGCATGCAATTACTGTGCTAGGTGCAATCGTTTTTACACATAACCCATTTTAATATTAAATTCAAGAAAAGCTTAATGACTAACTTCTCGCTGAAGCTGCTCATCCTTTTCTCTGCGTTGCCTCTCCGTGAGAGCTTTTCTTTCCTCTCGGGCGCTCCGCTTCTCGTCCTCCTGCTGCTGATGCCAAAATCTGACGAAAATTAAAAACAACAGCCGCACAAACATAGGAATAACCGATCACGCAACGATGGAATGGCAGAAAATCATACTGGGCTGCTTTATTATAATGTCCATTACCGCAACAGGATTGGGCCACACCTGCAAGCGTGATGAATCCTGTGCTTGACGAAAACACATTTAAGAAACAGTCTGGTACTTTTCACTAAGGGTAGCGTTCTTCACCTCTGTAGACTCGAGCGAAAACCTTAGCTCTAAAAGAGCGCAATAAATACCGCGAAATATCAATCGTCAATATTAACACCACAATACACATTTTTTTTATTAACAACTTTTGAATACAAAATATTTATCCTAAAATCTGCTGAGCTCTTAAAAGCACAACACCTGCATGTGTTTCGCGTACAATTTTATGGTTGGACGATTTATTTTCGGTCCAAACATAGCTGTCAATTTCAGGACAATGGAGCACTTACACAAAAGGAGCTTACTTATCACTTAATGTAAACTGCAAAATCAGGCTGCCTTAACCTTCATCTTAGTTAATTTTACCTCACTGCTTAAAAAATCATTTATTTAGGCTTAACTACCATTTCTCTACAACGCCTTTTACAGATGTCCTGAATGTGGCTCATTGCTCATATAGGAAAAGTCCCTATAAAAAAGATGCAAAGTTTTTTTTTTTATATATTCAAGACAACGTTTGATGGCTGTCAGCTCGTCGAACTGGTAAGTTAAAACAGCACTATTAAGCTGCCTTTGAATTCGATTAACAATGATAATTATAAAAACATAAATCTCAAATTTCATTTCTCATTTTCAGCAAGAAAAATTCTAGATAGAAATGACTATATCTTACTTTTCGCGTTCGCTTATCGAGACGACATCTTTATCGGGCTGGATGCGTTGGTAGGCGCTCGATACAGCATGAGGCGGGGCGTCCACGTTATTTCCATGGCTTACCCTTTCTGCAATCGAGGCAACCAATCAAGTATACATTATCGAACCCATGATTTGCAAAAGTATGTGTAAGTGAACAACAATTTCTAAATTTGGTCGATTAAAAAATTTCATGTTAAAGCCAATAAGATAGATTGGATACGCACTGCTTAAAGAAGAACAAATAGAGAGAGAATTCTGAATTTGTTAGGTGAGTCTATATTTCTACACACTGGTATGCCTCCAGAGCAAAAATGTCAACTACGGGAAACCGAAAAGGAAATGTTTCATCAAGCAAGGAAAGCCTAAAGCCCAAAAGAGCGGAAAACTGTTATTCTTCTCAGATACAAGGGTTAGGAAGCTTCATAATCACCTACGCTATAGGCTGCTATAATAATGGTGCGCCGTTTCCTTGGCACCCCTCGTGCCATATGAGCAGATGATCAAAGAATTGAATGAAGAGCCAATAAGCATCTTGAAGACGCTTTCAGCATATGCGTTCATTTAGGCTTAGAAGCAAAAGGCACACAGCATTTACCAATTAAACGTCAGGCTCAAGACAAATTAAAACTGACTATCTGTTCTTCCCCAATGCTGCATTCAGAGTGCAGAGTGAACCTGAAAGAGCTCTCGGGCCAAGATGGCCTTAAATTCTTGGAATTTACATACAATTTACGCTGATAATTACGACGGTGAGACTGCGCAACAAGCGGCCGCAACGATTACTCAACACATGTTGGGTTTTTTGGGTCCAAAGCATAAGTCATGGCAACACTCCTGAGGGCTATAGGAGGAGAGAAATAACAATAGCAACGGCAAACTAAGATAGGTGATAGCACACGATAGGTGCTCCAGGATGAGTCGCGGCATGTGAACTAAGGCTCTAGCAATGGTGTGCCCGCGAAGATCTTACATTAGATGCATCGCAGTAGGAATCAAAATTTTCACAGCAGCTGGGAATCAAAGAAAGGACAGAAGGGACTTGCCCGCCGTTATTAGTAGGACACACAGAATGAATATCCAGTACTTTGAACTGACAAGCTTTATTAATTTATAGTCTAAACTGTCGAAACCGTGTCGCAGGACCGACAAAGCAACGAGGAAAGAGACTGTGGGTAAAAAGATTACGACAAACGGCATCGCGATCGCAGCAGCAAAAAATAATGTACAGGAAGACTGCGAAGATGTCTGAAACCTTCTTCTCTTGCCATAGCCTGCTGTCATAAAAGCCGTGTCCTAGTTCTCACGGGAGATTGAAACAACATGTCTTGAATGAAGTAAATTCTACAAAATGCACACCTCTGCGTAGAGTATTACTGGGCCAGGTCATCCCACCTTTTCAGATAGAAACTGAGGCAGTATAATGACGACCCAGTTATGCTCACAGCCTTTCATCTAAACATTATTATTTTTTATTTTCGCTTTCAACTTGTAGAGGATACATCATCAATGATAAGCAAAATTTACAGACGCTTGCACTTGCTAGATTGATGAATTCCTACCATAAGTCCTACCAGTAAGCAAAATTGAATTTCTAGACGAACAATGTTAAGTCGTATCGGTTACCACACTTTCTAAAACATTTTGACGGCTGCCGGCTTTCTTTGCTTTCAGCGAAGCTCTTTTCAATTCTAGTCAGTCTCGATGGTTTTGGAGACATGTTCTGCTACGGCAACAAAAAAGCTGCTGCTATAAGCTTTTGCCTCACTTTTCAAACTGCTTTTCGCAGTGTTCTTAACTCATGGCACCCAATCCAGGGAAACAGCACGGCTCCTGGCCACAGCCTTCCACCTATTAAAGTAGCTCAGTTCTGCTGGAACGCATCCAGCGTATCCTTCCTTATTAGTAGTAGCAGTCCTCGTGAAAACCTATTTGCAGTGTTGGTTCATTGTCAATCTGCGTTTGATATGGCATCCAGAAATGCTGCATTTTCTAAGCTGGTCCAAAACGTTTTGTACGTACTTAGAGGCAATGTCCACGTAAATGAAGCAATGAAATTTCGCCGCAGGGATGCCCTAGTCGCAACAGATTTTTACGAAATATTATATATAAAAATTTACATCAATTTTTCACATATATATTTACATATAAAATTACAGTATACAAAACATATAACTTGTATAATGGCAATTAAGTAACGCTGCGGATGTAAATGTGTATACATATCGTTTTATATGCATTGTTTACCGAGTAAATTATATTTTTACGCAAAGAAAATAATTTTGTATGATCTATAGACTCACGAATTGAGGCAGAAGCGAAACACTTTTCAAGCTTCTCAAGTATGACCTCGGGCTCAATTTCTTCATCTGAGCGGGCGTTCAAGATAAGCTGAAGGCCTTTGAAGAAACGTTCGACGTCTGGGAGATGATTAGCGCAGCAGCCCTTCCGAACGACCGGAGCTCCTTCGCCCTACAGTAAATTACAGAACAAGGCATCCAAATTGCTATCTTCCGTAACAAACATTAACCTTTCAGATTAAATATAATCGACATAATAGACGGCTTTTGCACTTGAGTTTACATTATATTTGATTCGTATAAGAAAAGTAAAGAATTTTTTTAAACAACTTTTATTTATTCATCTCTGCTAGTAGTATTCAAAAACTTCGTAAATACAGGTCTCTAACAACTCAGTTGTTAAGCATTATATAGGTGGAAAAATATATCATGTGCGCAAATGAATTTTTTGAGGTGGATATTTTGTAATATAGCCAACATTCGTAGCGAAGTTTAGAATATTATTTTAGAAAAATATTAGGTTTAATGTATTTTGTTGATCATCTAATGGATTGTATATGATATCAGGAAACGAACCTAGCAGAGCACATTACGTGTCCAGCGTGATAGACAAAGTTTTGTATATCGGCTTTTTTTTAGGCATAATATAATATTTAGGTAAACGACTTCTTCAAATAATTACATGATGACCTCAAAGATTTATCGTGAATTAGGCATCATGTATTTCCTTTACTTAGTGTACAGGCTTCCGCAATACAAGCGTAAATCTCAATCAATGTAAGTGTCTTAATTAATGGAAAATTAAAGTGCCTTAAATAAAAAGCACTTAAATTTCGATTCTATCTTCTTAATACCTTTTGGATTCCGTTCGAGACTCCAACGCTTACCTGCCAGTTGATGAGAATATTCTTTTTGATACCAGAAGGTGGAATTGTGACACGGCAAAAGGCATACATTATCGCTGACTCCAAAAATTCTTTCTGAAGCTCTTCCAGTCCGCCCGCTATCGAATAAAAATTAAACAGCAATGATAATAAAATTTATTATATTTATTGTTGTTGCTATTATTGGATAATGTTTATTAAGGTACATAAAAAAAAATTAGTTGTCGTAAGCGCCTTTTTTGCATCTAGATAGATAAAGCCTACAAATATTCGCAAAAACGCACAATCCCATTTGATATAACTGGTGGCCCCAAGAAAATGTATACACTGTTTAACGAACGACAACTTTCTGAGTAATCTTTCTTTCCAGGGTTTAACCGATTGGAAACAATGACTGGACCGAGATTAACTACTGAATGAAGAAATTTTATTTTAAAATAATAATATCGAGGAGAGCTTCAGGTAGACCTACCTACTCTAAGTTTAAAACGGATAGAACCGTTTAAGATATTTATAGACAACATTCTGTAGACCACAGACATCTACCAGCTTCACAAGCTAGAAAAGTGTTGGAAAATTATAGCAAAACATCCCAAAAATATATAAGACAGTTGGTTCGTGAGCAGTAAGTAAAGTGTCTATCGTATTGTAAGATGCTGTAAATGAAAAAGTTTCATTGAACAGAGATGATTCATACCAAAAAAATTTTGCGAATGTTTTTTGGAAAAATGTAAATTAGATGCTCAGGTTTTGAAAAAATTGTCTAAAGCAGTGAAGCTTGATTAAAATTGAATGGCACAATTATTCGACAAAATTGCACTTATAATGCAATTTTAAATCTACGTGGTATGCAGGAACACTATGTAAATTTACCTGGAGTTACGGTGTGAAGCGGCATTTTGAAGCGTAGGATAAATTAGACCTTTTTTTTTTTATACTACAGCGGCCGATGCCAGTTATTTGACCTTTCCGTAGAAATCTGTCCCACCACATACTCGAAAAAGTTCTGGTGAAAATGGTGAATTTTATTTTCAACAGGATGGCACACCTACACATAGTCATCGTAATTTAAGACCATGTTCTGAATTTTATAAACAGATGAGTTGGACGAAAACGTCCCATTGAACACTCTATGCGTTCCGCAGACCTGACGCCTATATACTTTTTGTGATAATACCTTAAGCAGAAAAACAACAACACTGAGAGATTTGAAGGCCGCAATTGAGAGGAAATGCACCATGGACACTACAGAAAATGTTTGCTGGGTCAATAGCCCACTGTTACCAGCAGTTTATTGACCACAGCGATAAAAATTGTGAACATTTGCAGTAAGAGAAAAAACTGTATATTTTATGTAGATTAATTTGGTGTTTAAATGTTAATTATATACAAATAGGAACTGAAGCTATAATCATTCGAGCCATGCATACATTTTATGGGAACCCTGTATATACATTCGACACTGTTAAGAGCAAGAAACTTTTAACTTGACATTAAGAGCCATAGGGTATGATATACAGATGCTTTCCATGAAATCCAGCATTATCAAATTTAAAATCAGCACGCTAAAAACCACATCCGCATCCCCTATTCCTTTTTGAGATCTGCATAATTTAAAGACGTATTCGTTGTTATCTATTGAATCATTTCAGGTGATATTTTACCTATGTCTTTTCTTACTATTAACTAATCTGTTTTACAAATCAAAGCTGTAACAAATTGCAAATGGATCTAGCCTTCGATTTTTTCAACGATGCTCCCCTCAGCACTCGGCTTGGCACGAAAATCAGATAACATAAGTAAATAAGTAATGGGTAAAACAAAACTATAGCCGAGTAATGGCGCGAGTTCGCTTCCCCTCTATTTACTCTTGTACTCGCATATGTACGTTGTTTCCATGTAGGCACAATCTATTATACATTATATAGTACTATCAGAAATCTAAGGAATGATCTAAGGAAAAGAATGAACATAACCTACGTGTTTCGAATGATCAAATTAAGGATTTCTCCATCAAAAATCAACTTACAGATTACATTTTTTAACGTGATTATATAGACGGTATCTTGGTATTCTTGCATTGATTCTGTGATACGTTAATATTTAGGAATCCGCCTATCTAATAGTTTGGCAGTCAAAAACACGTTTGTTTACCATTCGCTATTTCCTAATTTGACATCTATCGGGGGCCCCATGTGAAAACTCATCGGAGCGATTGAATAGTCTAAATTTCCCAAGCTAGCTACCTGACGCTTTCTTAGAAAAAAATTTGATATGTGTTAACTGAGATACAGTCACTAATGGACTTACTGTAACATGTACTTTCCTGTAAGTCTTAAATTACGTTTGGTATTGTATGATATATAACATTTTAAATTTCAAAAAATGACGAAAAAAGAAAATTGATTTTTGAAAACAAATATGAAAACGTTGTTTTTGATATTGAAACCATCCATAGCCTTCTTTTTTAAAAAATTTCCCCAATACTAAAACACAGTTTCAGGTTTCGCAGAACAAGGAGACAGATCATAAAGCATTATACTAAACGTACACTTCACATATGGTGAGTTCTCTATTATTACCCTATTGTTTCGCCATATTTTCCAGATTGATTCATGATAATTAGTTTAGTCCCGTTTTGTTCGCATAGACACTAAAATCCCTTGCACTATGCGTTTTGATGTACGGATCAGCCTTTGAACTGATCTGATTACTTAAAATTATCATTTCAAGTAATCAGATTTTACAGTTACAGATATATATATATATATATATATATATATATATATATATATATATATATATATATATATTACAACCGCCTAGAAACAGATCGACAGAGCAAATACATCCAGTCCGCATAAAAACTAGAACATCGACAGCGCTTGGATAAATGACCATGAAAAATTAAATATGTCTGCGTAAAGTGTCAGGATTAACACAAGAATTAACAAAAAAAGTAGCTAGAAAAAAGATCTAATAGTTACCCAAACTTTCTTGGTGACTGGCTTTGATCAAATTCTCAAAATAAGGCAGGCAAGCAAAACTATAACCAAGCGGCGGTCACAGCTATCTCACGCTGGCAACGTTTTCTTCGAGCAAACATACATTCAACAGGTAAACCATTTAAAATGCTACATGCTTATTGTTATAACCGAATTCTAGGTAAAGACACTAAAATATTCGTTTCTAGTCCCTGCTAAAATAATAGGAAATGCGAGTAATTGTTACTTTATTTGAATTGGCATTTTTTACCTTTTGTTCCTTTTGGCATGCTAGAATTCTAAAGGGAAAAGGATCTGTCCAATAAATTGTTGCTAGATTATTAAATACAGGACTATCTATATGTATAGTGTCAACTGATAAACGCTAATGTATCTTGTGTAGTAACCTTTTGAGAAATCTGTACTTCTCACTACACATCCTGTCTAACTGAGACTTCAACTTTAATGTCGTTAAACCGCAATTTCATTCATAGGTCGATTAGCCTTAACATGATGCTTTTGCGTCCCCCTCATAGTGCAATGGTATCGCGTTTAATTAATACCGTTTGGAACGTGAGAGATTCCCTAAATTCGAAACGGGCGTAAACGTGCTAAGTGCTAATTGTCTGAAACAACTGCTTTTAAACTGAAACGACTGATATTATTGAGTGAAAAAGATATGAGCTGTACTCAGTGCAACATCGTCATTTTCTAATGTAGCATTAATAGTTAACTGTTAATACCGAAGTGAACCCAAAGATCACTTAAGGATATTTTTCAGTAAGTAGTATTACTTCTCGGCATTCAGCGGCGCTTTAGTTATACTTACACCCTTTCGACACCAATGTAAGGTTGTAGCTTTGTCCTTCATACCCAAACAGTGCCCTGAAAATACAAAACGAATCGTAAATGGTGTAATAAATCATTGTAGGAATATACTTCACTTTATAGTATACTTTATAGCAAGTCACTGTCTTACATGACTAAAAATAATCCACGCATACTGATAGTTGCACGGATTCTGCTATGATACACCACCTGGAATATATTTTGCATAAACTAGCATATGAACAAACCAGCACTGACACCTTTTTATTAAAGGTTTTATTATAAGTATCAGCTATCAGATAAGCAGAGGTTGCTAGTGAAAAAGTTACCTCTTTATTTTTTTCCAAAACTGAATGGTACCAAAGGAGTCGGTGCTTAGACGTTTACACATTTGTGTCGAAGTTAACTTTAACCTGATACTCTGAGTAAAAAGTCTACGAGGTGCTCTATTTAAAAATGATGAGTATTTGAGACAGAGAGCTATATCTTAACTCGGAGATACTGAAACGATTGGGTACATAGGTAAAATTTACAGTATCTTTATGTTGCGTTCGAAATGAGATCTAAAACAGCCTGTTCTATCTTATGCCGTGCGTTTGTCGTTTTTACACAAGCGCATTTGCCGTTCTTGACTTGAATGAGTTTTTCGTTTTAAAGCTTCGTGGCACCACCATCTAGCTTCCGGATATTGAAACAATGGATAATGGCATATTAACGAACATTCACATCCGCAATACAACAGGTTTGCCTCACACCAACATTGGCCACGGCTCACAATTGAATTCACTAGCTATGTTCACATATTAGTCAACGTATTATGAACGACTGTTGCTATTTGTAAGAAATCATTTATGCGCTTACTTCTATAAAGAAGTGTGGAGACATATCTGTAGAAGCTGCCTCGGCGTTATTTCATTTGACAGTTCAGAAGTCTATATATAACGTTCACATTGTTTTTTTTATGATCAGTGTTAGAATAGGTAATGATAACTCGGATAAACATTTTGCAAGCTCTAATAAGAAAGTCACAACGAGCTTGACTGACCCTTCCTCCTGAAATAAAAAGCGAGATCTTATGGATCCTGGTTGGTATATGCTGAAGGTTACTATTTTCAGCTATTACTACTCGTCAATTTCTATTTTAGAAGACTGTATGTATATATATTAGTTTGTCGCCACTGCATTAGACCGCAGATCAGTGTCGCGCCTTCTACTACGTCTAACTAGTGTTTGTAACGACCATTAGTCACTTAAAAATTTTAAATATATAGATTCATTTAGCTTTAACTTAATCTTTGCATACAGTAAAGTGCAATCATCTCTTGTACTTTCCATGACGAAACAATGAAATTCGGAATGAACCCGGAATTTTAACTCAGCATAGCCCATGGCGCTTCCGGTAACAGAAATCGACTCGTTATAAAGACCCAGTCTTTATTAGTAATTAGTCCCGGTGCACAACTAAGCTTTTCTAATAATTATAAAAAAAATTTGCAACAAGAGCGGTGAGTATAACTAGTCTCATTTATTACCATCTTCCCGAATTAACACCGCGAGTAAGTTGAAAAAACAATACATTTAGATGTAATAAAATGCGTTATATATAAGGATAGTAGACTAATTATTTAATATATTTATTTAAAATTTGGGAGGGTCGTTTTGAATTAGATAATGCGCGTACGGCTTTTCTGAAAGCACCGCACCCCCACAACTACTCTCTGCGCAGGATTTTATTTGCATTATACTATAGCCAGAGGGAGAAAGAGCATACCTAGCTCCCAAGGGCATTTCTTGGCGGCAGGATCAAAAAGAGGCCGTGCGCAAAGTAACGGTTCAGAAACGAAGAAGTCTGGCAGAAGTATATTACCTCACTGATCACCTTCACTGGTACCAAGAGTGTTAAGTCACTTACCAATCGGTGTCCGTTGTCTCGCTAAGCACATCCTCCCAGGCCTCTTTTAAGAGGGTTTGGTGAGCGGAAAGATTAATAGCCGCCATGAGCTCTTTCACAACGAGCGACAGTTGCTGAAACCCACACTTCCGTTTCCGAGAGAAATCATAAAACTTCACGGTCAGCGGTACGCTTCCTAGATCCGTTTGACCACGACCGGCTGCAGCTGTCAATTCGGTGGGGTGTACATAATACAAAACAATGAAAAGGCAGACAACTCTCAACACCCGACCCACACTGCCCTTTACCTTCAATGACAGCACCGACAGCTTTCGTCTGCTACTAAGCAGGTACCTGTATCACTGTCAATCTCTCCGGCTCTTCTGCTGCTAATGCTCCTTCTGCCGGCCAAAATAATAATAATGATAGTAATAATATTAGTGTAAAGGAGAACTGTTTTCCTTACGACGGGCGCATTCGTGCCAATGACAATAACATGATGGCGCACACTACGGACCAAAATCCAAAAATAATTCGGCCGTTGCGGTCCTTTTTCTGAATTACGTCAAGCTTCATATAACAAAATAGTTCCGAACAAACACATATAAATGCATGAAAAAATATTTTATCTTTGCCAGATTTGTAGATCGTTTTTCCTATATTCAAAAGTTTAATGCAAGTATTGCATATCAGCGCTTGCATTGTTTTTCTCTTCATTCAACATTTGAAAAAGTTCTATTTGAAGCTACGTTCGAGCAGCTTAAAAATAGTCAAAATTATAGACTCGCATATACACCAAAAGTTTGCACTATATACAGGCCATAAGAATCAGTTTGGTAATATTTAATGGTGTAACTATCGTATATAACACGTGGATAAAACACGAAAGACACTTCTGATAAAATCAAGTATAATAATGTTAATATTCACCGTCCTCATACTATAAATAAAGTGACAATTCTGAGCAGAATAATTTGTCATTTTTAATGTATCAAATCAAAGCTGGCAAATGGATTTGAAAGATGTCGTATAAGTGTGTTCGTAGCGTCCACTACAAATCTTCTCAGAAGAATCAAGTGAATTTCGTCTAATTTGATCATTTCTGACATATGATCGATAGTGCATTTATAGGTTTTCATTTTGACTCACACATAGATTCATACATCAAACACTCTGAACGGAACATATATAATTGTGAGACAGTGGGAAAGCCATGCTAAACAAGTAGCCATGAATCGTTATCCTTTTCGAATTATGATAATCTAAAAATGGCCAAATAGGTTCTTGCTGTACAGCTAGCAAAATATTTATATGTGTAGAAAAAGTTAATTTCTGATTACAATAGCACATGTGATTATGAGCTCAAGTCTTCCTGAGATGATGCAGTGGTAATGTTTGCCTACTAAATTAGGTACACGTATTGTGGTCTAGGTTCGCCCGGACGTCAACACACTATGTTTCGTTTTGGAAGGGGCCAGCCACCTGAAGCTATGTTTAACAATAATACTGTACGTATAACCTGAGATATTTAATTATTACTTCAAGAAATCATTCGCAAAAATACGCAAGGATGTATTCTAAAAAATCTTTTGTTCTGAGGCAAAAGTATAGCAAAGCAAGTAGCATATTTCTGTCTTATGTTAATAAAATGGCTCAACAACTTCAACCTTTGTTCAAACGTTAGTTTGGAATACCGAAGTTATGATTTACTAAAACGACTGACCTATTCATATTCATTTAATTCCTTAGTATCTCAACAATGTATCTGTATCTGTGTATTATTGATGAAGGGAATTTTCTAAATGAGTCTTTGTTACTCCAATGCTATTGACCCATTACTACATACCGAAAATCACCTTACACTCAAAACTTCAATATAACCTGTATTCATTTTTTTGCCATATATGCATGAAAAGGAATACTCAAGTTTCCCATGTTTATTTGTTTAGGAAGTCTTCAGTAGCTTTTGATTTGGTAGAGAATAATTATTGCTATTTAAAATTCTGAATAAAGGGTCTAATCTAAACATGTTATATTCAACTCTGCTACGAAATAAAAAAAAAGAAGGTATCAGTACATAAGCGATTACTAAAAGGAAGAAGCCGGTAGGTGATAATCGAGTTAACATTTTAGTTTCTGAACCAATAACGCAACCGGTAGTTGATTCGCGCGTCAGTGTTACTGGACAGTGTATCAGTGAAAATTAATGCAACGAACAATATACTGTTATATAGATATGACCGTGTATGTGTGGCCTGCGTGTGAGAAAAGACAACTATAGACATGGTCAAATTTCCCGCCTTTTTATCTCTGCTCCCTCTTCTGCTCTCTCGCTCTTGCTGGATGTGGCCCCTCTCGCCACGTGAGCAGACCATGTGTCTGATACTATTAAGACGGAGTTTGTTGGTACAGGAGAGTAGATATTGCTTCCGTTGCTTATGGTGGCGGCGCTTCTGATGTTGTTTATCTCCGCTGCGTGTCTGTGTGTGATGCCTGCCACTTTCGGAGCGGTGGCTGTATCGGTTGAGCTGTGTATGAGGGCTCACATCGTATACAGCTTGTCGTAAAGCAACTGCACTTTAAATGAATTACCGAGTTTTGTGTTTTGCGGTAAATTGAATGCGAATTTTGGTGATTTCGGGATGCATATAAAAAAAAAAACGGTACGGCTCAGTGAGACGACGAGCTGTGATAGTGATAGTTATTGTGGCTGCATGGCGGTTGTTACAGAACAGAGCGGGTCAAAACAAAAGCGACAATTCGCTTAAAATCGATTGGGCCTCGGGTAGAAACTTTATAAACGGATGTCCTAGGTGAAATGGAGCCTGACAACGGCGAAGGCAAAACCAGCCGTCAGGGCACACGAGTCTTTAAGAAGACCTGCCCCAATGGAAAACTTACAGTTTACCTTGGCAAGCGAGACTTTGTTGATCATTTTACGCATGTAGATCCGATTGACGGTGTTATTCTTGTCGATCCGGAATATATTAAAGACCGTAAAGTTTTTGGACATGTGCTTGCAGTTTTTAGATACGGCCGGGAGGACCTTGATGTACTAGGGTTGACATTTCGCAAGGATCTTTATTTAGCCTGTGAACAGATTTACCCACCATTGCCTGACAAGGAACCCGCACGAAAGCTCACACGGCTTCAAGAGAAACTCATTAAAAAGCTCGGTCCAAATGCGCACCCATTTTACTTTGAACTACCTCCGCACTGTCCCGCCAGTGTGAGTCTACAGCCCGCGCAAGGCGACACGGGTAAACCATGCGGAGTAGACTACGAACTCAAAGGATTTGTCGCCGATTCGCCGGATGACAAACCGCACAAGCGCAACTGCGTTCGATTAGCTATTCGCAAGGTGATGTATGCGCCATCGCGACAGGGTGATCAACCATCCGTGGAAGTGTCAAAAGAGTTCGTAATGTCACCAAATAAATTACATCTCGAGGCATCGCTTGATAAAGAGCTGTACCACCACGGAGAGGAAATCGCCGTAAATGTGCATATCGCCAACAACTCAAACCGTAGTGTGAAGCGTGTCAAAGTGTCAGTTCGGCAATTAGCCGATATTTGTCTCTTTTCAACAGCACAATACAAGTGCACGGTGGCGCAGGTGGACTCAGATGAGGGCTGCCCTATTGCGCCCGGCTTTACCCTTTCAAAAGTGTTCATGCTTAAGCCCCTGCTGGCGCACAATAAAGATAAACGTGGATTGGCATTAGACGGACAGTTGAAACACGAAGATACTAATCTTGCCTCAAGCACAATTATCACCGATCCTCAACAGCGGGAAAACCTCGGCATTATCGTGCAGTACAAGGTAACAATTAACAATATTCCTAAACGCAGTATTTTAAAAGAATATGTTGGGCACACATGGCACCCGCAATAGTCATTGACCGTTACAAGCGGTATAACATACGTGTTCGAGTCGTTAGGATTTTACAAATTTCTATCCTTTCTCGTTTAGATGTAATGGCCGACATGAACAACTGCACCTGCATAGTTATACTTTGATAAGGTACCAGGCAAATGAAACATTTCCAGTTAAGGGCATCTGAAATGTCTCGTTGAGCTTCGTTGCTATCAAGTAGCTCGAAGCACCCTTAAGCAACCTGAAACGAACCTTATGGTTGTGTACGCCTGGTTTCGAACCTGGGCCCCATCTGATCTCATGTATCCCTAAATTTAGTAGGAAAAGAAGTTATAACTGCGAGGATACGTGAAGTACTCGAAAGGGTAGAGAAGTAAAAACAGTTAAATCTTGCGTTTAGGTTTTTCCCAGTTAAACCTGAATACAAGTTTGTTATTGAAACCAATCAGTTTTGTTAGAACCAAGCTTGTGAACTTCAAAGAGCAATTTTTTGTAGCTGTTTAAATGTGATAGTTGATGTTGGTCTTTAGATTGAGTTAGCAATTTGCATTCAGTAATCTTTTTTGGGTTCTTTGAAAATAAACCGCTAATATAATTTTTTTCGAGCAAAAACGAGCACACAAAATGTTGCCCTTAGTTTCGTTTTGATTACATTTCTTATTTAGGAAATGATACTTTATTTATTTTAGGAAATGATAGATTGTCTTCTTAAAATATTCTGCAATACCTTTAGGTTATAAAAACTGCATTGCCATCTGATTTCACTTTTATGATATTTTGATTACTTTCACTTTCAACCTCTTATATATGCGTATCCTAATCTCAAAAATGTTATTTTTTAAAACAGCAAACGTCTGTCTAGGACATCAGAGAATAATCTACAATATGAATCAGTGGTGTACATTTTTTGGTTTTTTTTACATGGTTTGGTAATTATGGACCAAGTTTACTAAACCAAGGGCATAACTAAAAAACATAAGGCATGCAGATGAGGTATGTGACTTTATCATGTGTAATGCCGACATTGTATGCGCAGATGGGACTTACAAATGTAAAAAAACATTTACCGTTCTCACAATTTGTATGTCCGCCATATATGCAGATCTGTGCGTAGTCTTTCCTTGGGCACTTCCACAAACTAAAAGGTTAGTAAAGTGAGTTACTTAGTTAGTACATTACGACATAAAACTGAAGACCGTAAAATAAGTATTAGTATGGAAGGGAAGCCATTTTGAAGGTTCTTGTGAGCGTCTGTCCCTGAATAAAGTGGTATAGAATCTGGCTACTGAACTTTGGAACATATCAATTTAGGTAGACTATTTTTTCGTGCAGGCATTGCCCGGAGTATTGCTCAAAAATAAACTCGAAATATATATTTATACAGAAGTATCGGCGGTAACGGCTATTGACACGTCTTGCTAAATTGCTACTAAATGTGTTCCATCTACACTACCTAGATTGTGTATCGGCGGATGACTCGGTTGGCTTTGGTATCGTTCACAGTAAATTAACAGAAATTATTCTGTTGTTCGAAAATAATCAGTTAATGTGAGCGGATATATCTGCTATTCTATTTAACTCCGTAAAAACAAACACTTATAGTGTCACTAAAAGATAGGACAATTCGTCAAAGTTTATTTTTTAATGTATAATGAATCCTATTATTATTCAAATTGAGAGAGTAATCTCTTAGCAGAAATCTGTCGATTTTTTTTTAAATTTTGAACTTGAAGGCAGTTGAAATATGGGTACGTTTAGGCACTTGATAGATCATTTTGAGATTGTTTCGAAGTTGAATGCTCGGTCCTGAAGATTGCGATTCGAGAAATTTCTAACCGTATCTCTCAGAGTCATGCATTTATGTGAAAAATCTGATCCATAGAATTTGTAAATTAGTTACACAGAGAAAGACAAGGATTAGCTATAGCAACCCTTACTAATTCAAAAAAAAAAAACGTATTTGTCGTGGCTGAACATATGGTAGGTTTTATATTTAATCACATCTTATATAATCGTTCTAGCCATAGAGTGGTCCGACAATACCGGCAACGGAAGCATAAAAAAATATTTTAGCTCGAACGTTGGGAAGGTACCGCCACACAATATGTTCGGAGGAAGGGGAGGGGGAGGGGGGTTGAGCAACCCAGCGCCTATAATTTTTAGCACAACACATGTGAAGATTCTAATATATGACCTATCTTAGTGTAGTACCGTAGTGCCCGAAGAGCTAACATCGTCTCATCTGGCCGATTTGACGTGGAGCAGATGTTATTTTTGATGTCACTGTATATCTCACAAAGAATCGCAGATCTAAAACTTCCAAGTGTATACAGAGTGGTGCGTTCAAATTGGAGAAAACATGGTCTGGCTATTTATGACAACGGGTATACGTTCATTCATTCTTAGACGAAAATCAGTTTTTGTCTTAAACAAAACGGAAAATTCGTCATATCTGTACAAAAATCAATGGTTACGCGATCTTTCCCACGAAGATTAACAAGCTCATTTTCTGTCCGAAATTGACAATTTGCATTATATTACTAACTCTCGAAGTGAATGTGTTCTAAGCGCCTATATAAAAAGGATATTTGTATCGCTTTAATATATATAACATCATGATTCTTATGAATAAAATATTTTTTGTTAGATCATATTATAAGGTTATTATGAGAATTTCGAGAGTCGATTGGACCGGCTTCCGGCTAGTTGTTGTTTCGCGTAATTGAGTCATAATAAGCAGTATTCGCTGTTATTGTAAAAAGACAGGGTTTAACGATTAATATATGATTCCACTTGGCATATAACATTTAATAGAAGAATACCTTTGTCGATCACACAATTTTTACTTAGCACACTTTGCTTTGATGACATAAATAATTTCTCTTCTTCTTTGAAGCAAATCGAACGCGATACCATAATACGGTTCCTATTTTTAGAAAAAACTATAGGCGTAGCAATAGGATAATACGATCGACTGAGGCTTACATTCATCGCTCATTGGGCGGGGAGTACTCATTGATGTATAGTAATGGCAGTACGGAATTCATCTTTACCATTACGCTTAGCGTATAATTTCGGTTCGAAGCGATTCTTTTGCCGTACGGCCGAATAGCCTAAATTGCTGATCGATATTTGCGTTTTTAATTCCTACGGTAATCACAGATGATTATCGGTTAACGATAAAAACGGTTTCACTTATCGTACCCAATTGGTACACTAAAGTCTCTTTGAACCTACCTATATAATAAAAACGTCGGTAGCCTCTTGTTTTAATATAACCTGGCAATAAAAACCGTTTGTAGTCCTAATGATATCGACATGCTTAGTTCTCTACATTTGGTTTTGTAATTAAACATTGCCGGAAACGACTGGCTCTCAACATAAAAAAAAATGCGTATAAGCCCATATTTGAATCTGGATCCCTACACTTAGCCAGCAAATACGCTTGCTACTATACCTTCACAAGATCGTTATGTAAACTAAAAACGTTCGTTCTAAAAGCTAGAAAAAATCAATGGCGCTGCTTTTGAAGAAGCAGTCGTATCGCTCCCATGGCAGGGAACGTCCCATTTAAATATGAAATTGTGCGTAAACTGATTCCTACAGAGATTGTCCTCGGCTTCCTGTTTAGGCATTGTTACTTCAAGCAAGGTGAATTTTTATTACGTGCATGATAGAGGGATAGCATATATAGAGAGCGAAATGACCCAAGATAATGTAGTGAAATGACAATAGCTTCTGTCCAAAGTCATATGAGGTATCTATTTTTACTGCGTGTGGATCATATATTAAACAAGACAAGCATTCATTTATCGTATTAAAGTTTGCATACAAATTATACTTTATTCACGTTCATTCAAAGCACGTGTAAAGATAACTGAAAAAATTAAATACCTCTGAGCTCAACATGACCCCGAACATGAAAGAACCATTGAGCATATATAATATTATACGAAGCCTTCTTCTTTCAATTCGTGTATTCGAGTCTAAAATAAGAGGTAAGTCGTAGGTAGAGCTAACCTATTCAATAATTAACCAATCGATTTGCTAATGAATTGAGCTGCCCAAGAGCCATGTATGCTTTTGCAAAAATATATGTACTTATTTCTTCTTAATGGTATAACAAACCGTGAGACTCACTTTACACAATTAGGCTATAAAAGAAGAATATATATAAAATGGTGTACCAATGAAATGAACACTAATATTTCTTTATTATTTTAGCGTAGTCATTTTAGCGGAGAATAGATCGTCTAACGATATTTACACCCAGTAGGAGAAATCAGTGTTAATTCAATTCAATAGTATAATCTCTACTTCCATCACATGCTTGTCTATCAGAACATACCTAACTAATACATCTATTTTCTGTACATATATGCACAACGTATGTTATTAAAGTGTTTTGTAGAGTCACATCATAAACTTTCACCACAGGAGAGTAAATAAACAAACACTTAAATGAAAACATATAATAATGTATAACTTATAATACTTCAATCGAAAATAAAATAACTGTAGTCTACTATGACAAAATGTAATGCATCCTAATCCATTATGCCGCATCCTATGCTGAACAAGCTTATATTATTAGAGAGTAACGATGAGCTTAATTGTATCTTAGCCAGTCTTTAGTAATGTAGCTGGGCCGTTATGAGGCACGCTTACGTTCACGATAGGATGATCACCTCCCTATTTACCTACTGCGCACAAAAGGGTAAAGGGGTTGAGCATTGAAAGGCCAACTGCTAGGCAAGTTTTCTCTAGAATCAAGCTACGTCATTTATTACTGTTCTGTCATTTATACTCCGTCCAGCTAGCTTCGTCTGTAGTTATTATCCACAACGAAACAGTTACACGAGTCTGGTCTCTTGCCCACAAGTCTGCTACAGTACTAAATGCAACCAGGAAACACCATCGTCTCAATTTCCCTGCAAATGGATGTGATAACGACGCGCATATGTTACCCATAGAAGTAAATAATTGGGAGTTGCCTGAGAATTTTGCTCGTTGAATACTGATAAGAATTTATAATTTAACAGTGACAACAAAAAAACGGCACCTTTTTGAAACGTAGGTATTCTATTATTATTTAATCATTATATTTTTTTTCGCAAGAGCTTTTATGTGTATGTGTAAGTGTGTTTTTTAGCATAAGGTAGATTAATTGCTTGATCTGATTTTCATCCTGAGGACGCTTACGTTTTATGTATTCCCGCAGCTGGCTGAATATTTTTTGGAAAGGGAAATACTAATATTCGTTTAGGCAAATTAACCCTCCTTTACCTAAAAAGTTTTTTGATTTTCGTGGAGTCGACGAAATAAGCGCAAACTTTGATTTCGGATAAAAACAAATTGTGTGAATAAGAGTCGTGTGGACATACTTGTGTGTCTGATACTTGTGTGTTACACTGTGTTCAAACAAAAACTGTGTTCATGTCGAATTTTCAAATTAATTGCAATGAGAAATGCAGCAAAAAATTGGAATCGATAACACATTTCAATAGGAGTTGTGTGTTACGGGTAAGGGAGTGAGGGCAAGGCATTAACCACTATGTCTCTGAGCAAGGTTTTGAATTAGGTCAAGTGAAGCAAAATATTTTTTGAGTGGTATTGAGGTTCTTCATTTTGAAGTTGAGGTTAGTTGTTGTTGTTTCAGAGAACAGAACATCAGGGCTATGTAATATCTTCCCAACTTACCATTTATCATTATATAAACAACAGGAATCACCTATTTCAAACATTTCTTCCTGTTAAGAGTCCAAACGTAGTTGGTTTCACTGGACTTGCTTGGGGTTCCCCAAAAATCTATGGGTAGATATTAACGTTATATATATGTATATATATATATATATATATATAACTCCGTTTATTTCTTACGTTGTTCTTTCTTGTAAATATTTAGTGATCATTTTTATCCACACTTGAGATTTGAACCAACTCGTTAGCATGCTTAGTCGTGGTTATCCTGGCAACCCGCTCGAAGGGATATGTATTCACTTCCCGAGCCGTGCCAGCCAGGATGTAGTAGCAGTTTATTGCAATATGAGGACGGGCTTTGGGACTATTGGATAATTGGTTGCTGAAGGATTCTAATAAGTCAGTACACCAGATAACCCCAAGGTTAAATGTAAGCAAGCACGGCTACCGGGTCGTAAAATGACCGCACTAGGATAGTGCAGATAAAATTGCACTAATCAAAAAACTGCAACGCGACGTTGGTGAAACAGGTTGATGAGACTAAATACTAAATAACAACGGTTGGCCTATTAAAATATTTCAGTGATTAAGTGGGGAGCAAATGTAGGCGGGTCATGGTATAATCGAAGTAAGGTAACGGACGAGTGAAAAAATTATATCTCTAGAAGGCCGTGAATCGGATTACCTGACAGCAAAACGAGCGTTTGATAAAATCATTAGGTCAGTCCGGCTATAAGCCTATATATACTGAAGCGAACTGACTTGCCTTTACAGCCGCTCTCTCTGCTCCTATATAACCGTAGCTGTCTATTTATTTACACGTTCATACTATAATAGTTGATCCGTTACAATATATGGACTCTACAACATATACATGTTAAAAAAATATGGAAATCTACTAAAAACGCCAATAGTTTGGGTTTTGTTAGTCGGTCTCCGCAAAATACAAAAACAGAGTTCTAAGAGACAGGGGCGCCTAATTTCGTAGATTTCTTAGTTTCTTAGTTAGATTTCTCTCGGAAATTAATGTACAATGTTGCCAGCTTTGCTTTTATACTCTTTAGTTACGTGACCATAGAAAATGAATTATATCATCATCGATTTCAATATGCATCCTAATTTCACTGAATATGTCTACCGTAACTTGTGATGCGTTTTTTACTCTTCCAAGAGGGCTTTTTTTTCCACCTTTCTCCTTCATCTGTAATCTGCTGCCTCAGCTACAGACCGGTAAACTTATAATGTGTTCTAATTTTATTCTGTACGATTTTGATTTTCCAGCAGTTCAACCGGAAATAGGACTACGGTATAAATACGTTGTTTCTAAATGTATACAATCTTCTCAAAATGTTTTCTAAGAACGTGTCATTAAATTTAGAATTTTCAGAAATGTTGTATTGGTAGTATCATCCATTTGTGATGATTATACAACAGACTCGAGTGTGTCTGTAACCTTGTTTTACACTCCGCAAGGTCCAGTGATCGTTTATTTTCAGGGGGGGGGGTGTAGTGGCAACGTAACTACTGATGAATCGAATAAATTGAGTATAAGTAATTAGCCTCAATAGCTGGTTTTTAAGTTTCACACGATTAACTTTATTTTTCAAAAGAAACTTGATGAAGACTAGTTAATTTCCTGTTTCGGTTTTTTTAGATACCAAGAAGTACTGTTTGATGTACTTTTCTTCGGCGGCTCAAAATAAAATTAATTAGTTTGAATTTTGACTATACGTAGTTTCACCATGTCTCATATCTAGAGGCCAGACAAGTAAACGTATCGGCGTGGGATGACACATAAACGTTCTCATTTTAAACTAACTTGGTGGACTCGCTACATACCTTTATGTCAACTTATTAGGCAATAGCAATTTAGATGATTGGTAAAAACTCTTTTCGATTTCTAGTACCACCTTCGGTCTTTGTTGAACGATAGAGCGTACGAAGTTACAGTGCTGGTAAATCGCCATGGTAGGGACAGTATATAATATGTTCTAGTCTTACTGCGCCTTATACTTTTACATATAAATAAACCCTTACGGACAGCCCCTATTCAAAAATAACATACTATCTTAATGGACATCTTTCACTTTATAGGTAAAGGTGAAACTATGTTTAGGTCCTCTTGGAGGCGATCTTGTGGCTGAGCTGCCTTTTGTCCTGATGCATCCGAAACCCGAGGAAGAAGAGCCGTCGTCTCCTGCTCACGCGGATGACGCAAATTCAACGACCGATGGACATGCGAAGAATGCGAGTAATAAAAGTCGAGATGGCAGCGAGGTGAGTTCAGAGTCTCGGATCCACTTTAGTTGTGCTGAAAATAATGTATGCGGATCTAAAAAAAATCTCGGTTTATTTAACATTGGCGGTTACATTTATACAATAATATAATGCAATATAATAATAATAAAAGCAATCCTTGCTTCTTATTTTCGTTTGTACTGGTTGCATAAACTGCCGTTAAGTTGATACTCATTAATCTAGCTATGTTCTTCATCTATTTAACGAGAGTCTACTCATTTATCTACATATCTATAAACTATTAATTCTTGGGTAACGGATTTGCCCTATCCAAATCTTCTTCTGTGAATACATTGAGATGAACTTATTACGGCCGCTATAACACCACCCCGGAAGAAATAATGTAAATACTATATATAGCCGATAGAAAAAAAACTTTGTTTTTCGTATAGGGTGGAAAGCTAATCTACTACAGGGACTGCAGTGGACAAATCCGAAAAGGAATATCCTGAAATGCGGTAGATCTGCAATCAAACTGTAGTCGTTGTTCGGTTTGACGCGTATCAAACAGAATAGAATATTGCAAGCCCCTCTAACCTATTACATGTGCTAAATACTATGAAAAAAATCTATATCCGTCTATCTGCTTATTTGTCGGATCCAAAGCGACCCCTAAGGTGTTTTTTTTAAAGCGAGTTTAATCCCGGAAATGTTTGGCCAAGTACTCTTTCTTCTAGAGGATAAAGTTTGTTTTTTCTACAAAGCGTAATATTAAATTGGTGGGTTGACAGCAGCATTTCTTCTTATTCACCTTTAAAGGCAATGCTGCAGTAGCGTTTTCAGGACGTCCTCTAGCATTGTTTGCACTAATATATCATCAGTGTGAAAAAACTCGTGCGGCATTGGTGTTTAACGTGTATAGCATGAAAAGCTATTTAAATTAAATTCTATAAGGAACTCTTAGGTTTTATGTCAATGAGGATTATAGACTACTAATTAGTTATGCGAAAACTGTCATAGTTGAAAACAGCGGTTCAGAACGAAAAAGGCGCGAAAAGAGCAAAGAGAGCCGGCAAAACGATAAAAGATCAATAGCGATTGATTGGCGCAGAGTACAATGAGAAAGACAGAACTTATAGGCCAAATGAGGCAGCAAAAAATGCAAATGATCGACGTCGCGCTACTTCCAAAAACCGTGGACGACATAGAACGAGGAAAAAACACAAAAATGCTTTGCCAGATATAAGTAAAATGAGTAAATTTTGTCGTTATCATAAAGCATATCTCCTCAAAAATGAGATGGAAAATTTCTGTTGTATGCAGGGGACAATTAGTTGCCTAAGGAACTGAAATAACTGTATATGAGTAGGACATCACCAGCAAAGGCTTTACGAAAAACCTCAGACAATAAAGTTGTTTATTTAAAATTCTTTAGATTAGTATCTCTGGGGAGTGCTGTTTTCCTGCAGAAACCTACAACTATTCATTAATTTTACAAGGTGCTATTCATCATAAAATCGGTGATGCCATGACACGATGAAGGTATATGACCGAATTGCGACAGTAAGCTACGATGTACGTTCATACGTATAAAAATGTTTCACCGCTCGTAACAACGATGTACAATACGCCAAAATTTGTGAGTCACCCTACTAAATGCCAACAACCTGGAAGTCGACCAGATTTATTAAAAATAATGTTTCATATAAAAGAAATGAGCAACGTTATCTTTTTTTTAGCAAACAAAAAGGAAGATAGCTGCATGCGCACATTTTCCTGTGGCTTAATAAAGCAAAAAACTTTCAACAGAAGAACTAAGCTACATTTGCGCACGCGGAAATATCGAATTCAAACGCGTACCCGAAGGTTCACAGATTAGTATTGAAACATGTGATTTTTAGCCCGTGTCATATAATTAATTCGCCTAATAGTAAAATGAACAAATAACTTATGAATAACTAAATAATTAATTATAATCAAATTTATGAAGCCCTTTAGTAAATACAAAAAAAATGTAGCGGGTTTGCTTGACCTGAATTTACTTTTTAACGAAGGCGGATTAGGCTGATTTTTTAGAATCGGTACCGTTTTTCCCTTGTATTGACTTCCTGCACGAGCCGCCCCTTACACTTACTGTGCTGTATGGTTCTATTAGATGCTAGCGTAAAACGAAGTCCAATATTGTGCGTTACTATGAGCAGGACACGACAGTTGCAAAGCGCCAGTCTCTAATCGATAATTTATTCAGTTGGGCCTAACATGAATCAAATTGCAGAGTAGGGCTTGAATACAATGTGAAGACAGGACAGTTAAGAAATAAGAGCGTCTATATTTTAACAGGGTAGCGGTAACACCGTCACAGATACCAATCATGCAAATGGGGTAATCGTGTAACGAGGTTTCAATAAGTATCCGAACCAGGTCACTGTAAAGGTGTACCATCCAACTACAGTTTATGTTAGGCTATATCCAACACAGACCAAACTCGTTCATATTAGAACCGCGTGATAAAATTAGAAAAAAACGTAACATGGTTGGCAAGAAAATAAACGTTATTATATACAATAATTTAAGTTAGTTATAATAATTGATGGATCATTAACTGAATCAACAGGACAAAGGTGCGCGGCGAAGCTTGCCAGACCAACTTGTATATGCTACTTAAACTAAATCCGTTTCTTTGTGTGCCTGTCTGCCCCATCCAAATTGACCCCTTAATATGGATAGATTGGGCTGAGCTTTAGTGGGTAGCTCTACAAAATAGGAGAACATTAGATTTGAGGAAAATATTCGATCCTTCACATTTTTGCATTTCAATTGCGATCCTTTTGTTAAAAAGGTTCTTACCTAATAAAATATAAACCACTCGCTTTATATTCTTTGATTGTGCGAGTACTTTTTTCTACGAGCTTGTTTTTTCTTTTTCATAAGCATGATACTTGGCTTTGCCGAAATCATTGGGGGTGAACGAAATATGAACCACTTCAGTTCAGGTTTTTTTAACTTTCATAAGGAATAATTTCTTTGTCCTGTAAAAGATTGTGATGCCAGCTTGGTTAATTTGTGAATCTGTTTGAAAAGTATATTTGCACACGATAAATTTTCTCCGATTGGCTGAATACTTATGTTAATAGGAAGTTTGTTTCTTCCATAGAGAGTAATGCTAGTTTAAATAATTTGACCCTTTTGCTCGACAACCGTCGAGACTTTCGAAGGCCTATAATAGTGCAAAATTGTTTTTTTTCCAAACTCTACCAAACAAACGACATTGAAATTTTTGACGTTTCATATTTTTACGATCCACCTATAAAACAGTGATTTTTGTCGAAACTATTGGAAATCGGTGAAATATATACCACCAGAATTCGTTTTTGTGAGTGGGCAATGTTTTCTGAGAGAGGTTTTTTTTATTCTGTAGCAGGGTAAAATGCTAATTTGGTTAATTCGTAAGATGATTGATGAAACAGTAACCATATGGACATTCGTGCCTCATTTTCCTTAGTTGAATGAAATGTATTTTTCGTGCGGTAGTAGTTCTCGAAGCCAGAAAACGGGATTAATTATAGAAGGGTGAGGAATGTGGGTCAGGTAAAGCTGCAGGCTAGCGCAGCTTACACTACCAAAGTTCAACTCTAAATGTGCGAGTAAAATTCACTGTTCGGTAGAACAAACGGGTATGAAGAGTCAAAATAATTGTAACGTAATTGCTCGATTCGTAACGTACGTTAGGCTGGCTGCAACATCAAAAAATTAAACAGTAGAAAAAAAAACGATACGGGGTAAAGTTATTACAACTTTTTTAGCACAATCGTTGCACCTCAAACAAACATGGTTAAAAATAGGTATTTTTTAAATTTAAAAAAAAACTTTTTAAAAAAGAGATTAGCAAGTATCAAAGTTATTGAAAATTTAATTATCTTAATCTGCGACAACTGTAACACTTCCTCTATATTTTGAATTTAATTTCAACGTCGCGAGTGCCGCGAGCCTTTGATCACGCAAGGACCAATGGAACATTTACATGCCACAACGAGAGCTATGATAACATTAAGTGAATCTGCCCAAAATTTATCGTAGGACTAACGTAGCGCTTCTGAATAAAGGTCGTCACTCAACTCAAAATTATTCAAATCTATCTAAATGGAACTATAATGTCGCAAATATATATAAATTAATGTTGTTATGTTTGTTATTTTGTCGCCAAGACTTTTAGTGGAAAGTCACAAGCTTGGTTGAGAGCAATGAATTTTCTATTTGATAGTTTTGTGTATTCATAAACGTAACTGATATATTTTATAGAATGACGAAAAATCAAAATCCAGTCGAATCTCGATATTTTTTTTATAATTATGTTGTCATGAGATACAATGGATCATTAATTAATTAAATCACATTTTTTTCTGAAAAACAAATTTTTAAATTTATTTTCGAGCAGCAAGGTTACTAATAGCTATTGAAAATATCTAATCCCCTACTGGAACTGAAACTTTAAATATTCAACCTCGACCGTTTACTTTAGATCCAATACACGGACAATATTCTAAATGGAACCTATTTGAATTTATAACGAACCGCCTAAAACCTTTGAAGCTTTCAAGTGATTGTAAACGTTTGTGGAACGGTTAGACAACGATTTCGGATATTTATCCCGTATGTGGCTGGCTTTGTTATTTTGAATGTTACAGAATGACAAGGTTTACTTAGATTAATCGCTGCAGTTCATCTATATCATTATATTTTGTTGTCGACTGTACAAATGAGAGATATAGACTCTGTGCTAAGCTGTTCGTTCGCATGTACTGCTTCTTTTTTATCTGTCTTTTTGTTATTCAATCAGCCTACCCCGTTTATTACATCGAGACGCTATGACATCAGCCGGCATGTTAATGCAAAACGAGGTTGCGCTTTGTCTCTATATATATTGGATGTTTAATGTCTAGGAGGTCTCGATATTTAGTGAAGGGAAGGCCAGGTTGAATAGGGCTAAATAACCGAAGAGCTGGAGCATAACGGTTTCCCACCTACTTGCAACAATGGCA